GCCAGGTCGCGTGTGGTGGAGTAAAAGTGTGCGTACTCCAACATTCTTCCCAGATATCTGGCCGGCATGGAAGAGTAGGCCAATACAGCCTCTCTCTCGGGCTCCCTCTCGTGCAGGCCTTTCCGCCAGCAGTGACGCGAGCGAGCGCCTGAACCTTTCCGATGACTGCCGCACAAGTCGACTTCCTCGATGCTGAACGATGCCCTGCGGCAACGCCTTGTGCTGACGTAGCACCCACGGCGCCCACAAACCCACTTTCACGTCGATGACGGAGGACGACAACCCACCTTTGAATCTCTCCGTTGGTCCATTATTGGAGTGTGGTCTATTATTATTGTTATTATTACCCATCATCGGCCATGATCAATCGACTGCTGGATGAAGGCATCACCGAGCTGTTTGCCATCTGTCACGGTCCTGGGATGCACGCGATCCATCTCGCACTGAAACGGGAGCAGATTTCTGGGGGGCGTTCCCGCCTTTGGCTGCCACTCTGTCACCAGTCTCAACCACTGCCTATCATGTCCCTTCTAGCGACACATCCCTGGCCAGGAACACGTGCCATTTTCAAGATGACATTTTTTTATTTATTCGTCCAACATGGATGTCAATGTCGGTTCTGCGTAAAACCGAACCGAATCATACCATGCGACGATCTCCTCGCAGTCAATTTGAGAAATTCAGAGCCACAGCGGCAATTCTCGACAGACAGCGCATCCCGCGCGATGACCGACGCAGGCCAGCGGACGTGGCGATTCACGCGTTGTGAGATGCGGCGTGCGCGATATGCCAAGCGGAAGGAATTTTGATGTCCCTCTTATCGGTCATCAGAACAGAACATTGACAAGAACAAGGGTGGTGAAGAACATCTATTATAGGAAGCCAGAGATTTTATCTGTACACTGGTTTAATTTTGTGGACTGTCAAAAAACATGTTATGCTTCGTCAATGAAACGCATCACAGTCAGGAACCCTGAAACAGTGCTCTCCAGTTCTGTCACTGGCACAATGTACAGTGTTTAAGTGTTTGGTAGTGATGTCACGAGAGTGATGTAATAGCACGCATGGCCGAAAACTTCTTGTTTGTCTATTTATTTTGGACCTTTTCCCCAGACTCAGGTTAGGAAATAAGGAATCCATTCAGATCTCTCGCACAGCAATGTCGAGGAACGGGCAGTGAAAGCGGATACCAGGGAGCTACCTCGATAAATCCCTTCAATCTATTCTTTTTTTCGTAATTCTCGGAGATGGAAGTTAGCCACATGATGTTGCGGAAGAAAAGAATGTGAAGGTTTTTTGTTGCGCATTCATTGGCGAGACCATAGACTCTCTACGCTTGAGAACTAAGTCAATTTGTTTATATTTTCTCATTAACGTTTGTTTTGTTTACATTTCTATTGGGCAGCCTCATGAACGCGTACCGAGGAAGATGTCTGAAAGATAAAGGGCTGTTTTCTTGTTGGGTCGCATCACATTGGTTAAGGCCAATTGTGTAAAAAGTGAGCTATTAAAAATATGCAAAACAATGCGGTGCAGCAATTCCTGATAAAGGAGCACGCGAATTATTCAACAATAATAGCTCTTAACTTACAAACAACAGCAGGACTCGTTTCCACCTGCCCTCCAAGAGGAAGTACGCTGGAATTCCGTACTATCAGCGATAACATCGTGCGCGATTCAAGTTGTCACTGTGTGATCACAACAAGAGTCACCGCGTACGTGAACTCTTTGCGGAAATGAGACGTGGGGGGGGGGGGGACTGAATGGACCAGTTCTGGGGCGGTGTAGGGGGGTAGGGATCCAACTGCACAATGACATTGCCATTCTTTGGGACAATCCGAGACAGCGTCACACACTTGGCATGCTCTCGGCCCCACCCGTGGAGATGCAACGCATGAAAAAATTAACCCGTAAAAACAAAGTTTTTCACTATAAATCCTTTATATGCGTGGCGGCTAAAGTCCTCTCGTCCTCTGGCTTGAGATGGCTGCCACCTATGGGTCAGATGATTGCCTGCCACCATTAAGCAATTGGTAATTAAATATAAAAATAAAAATTCTCCTAAAAAGTGTAAAATTTTGGGAAAAAAATTTCACGAAAATTAATTGTCACGCACGAGTCTGTGTGCAAAATGTCAGCTCGATTGGATCACAGGAAGTGGGTTAAAAAACGACCGAAAGATTTGCACGGTCGTAAGCGCGCAAGCAAGCAAGTGAACTTAATATAAAGGATTTTAAAATGGCAACACAAGCTGACGCGTGCAAGGGTGTCCTCTAGATGTGCCGTCTCATTGGATATCCACGTTAAATATTTTACCTTTAATGCACTTATTTTAAACGTGGCATATTCCAAACGGACTTTGCCAAATTGGTGAAAAAAACTAAATTAAGCCACAAGGCTCTTTTTAAAAAAAATGCTGGCCCCAGAATTGGTGACCGTTCCCAGCGCCGGATTCCGAGAGCGGAAAATATCCGTGCCCTCTCCTCCCTATAACCTCAAAGCAGCCATGGAAATATGTCGTGTTGTTGATATTATTCACATGAAAACAATGTGAAATCAGTCTCACTTTTCTTATCACGAAAAGTATTTTTTTCTTTTTTACCCGTCGGCCCCTATGGAGTTTTGGACCGGAAACAAATGGCCCATTTTCTACCCCCTAAATCTGGCCACAACCATCCTCCCTACTGCCCGTCCCACCAGAGTCCAGCTTATAGAGGTGATAACCAGCTGCATCCAAACCGTCGGAGCAAGTTGGGACCAGATCTTTTTTTCTCTTTTTTTAAACCGAACCGAGACACACAACCGTGGTGCCAAACCACCGCCGCCTTGCATCGTGGGGGGAAAAAAAAGCATGTGACGCGTGATTCTTGGAAGTGAGAGGAGATCACAGGGGGATGGTGTTCGGGCTTAGGGTTAGAGATCTGGCATTGGGGGTTGTGGTCAGGTTTCAGCGTGGTCAAATTCGAGAGTCATAAAAACGCTTCATCATCATCATCAAAGACAAAGATCTGCATGCAGGCTCTAATTCAGCATGTGCGGTTATAGTGAGAAGCCATGAATCAGGATAATGAGTTTAGGATGGGGTCAAGGTTTGCGTTCCAGCGCTTTGACGATATATATACAAGCCAGTGCTTAAGTAATAGCTCCAGATTCTAAAGTTGCTAAGTATACGCTTTGACCCACTCAGATAAAAGCCCTCTGCTATAAATAAATAACAGAGCCGTGCTTTAATGTTATGGGCACGACAGCGCGCCCCCCTGCATGAGTGGATCGAGTAGCACGCCCTACACACCAGCCCTGCATGCCGTCTCACGTCGTAATATTACCACGAGCCCCCCCCCCCCAACTCTCACCCACAGCCCTAACCCCTTCCCTAATCATCCTCGTCTTATCCAAATCCCTCACACCAATCACAAGCGGACCACTAACCCCGTCATAACTCTTACCCAGAACCCCTACCACCAACCCTATCACTTATCGATAATGCTACCCCTAACCCTACCACTTATCGATAACCCTACCACCAAACCTAACCTATAACCCTACCACTCATCGATAACCCTACCACCAAACCTAACCCTTACCTATAACCCTACCACTTATCGATAACCCTACCACTAACCCTACCACTTATCGATAACCCTACCACCAACCATATCCCTTATCTATAATCATACCACCAAACCTAACCCTTACCTATAACCCTACCACTTACCTATAACCCTACCACTAACCCTATCACTTACCTATAACCCTACCACTTACCTATAACCCTACCACTAACCCGACCACTAATCGATAATCCTACCACCAAACCTAACCCTTACCTATAACCCTACCACTAACCCTATCACTTACCTATAACCCTACCATTTACCTATAACCCTACCACTAACCCTCCCCCTTACCTATAACCCTACCACTAACCCTATCACTTACCTATAACCCTACCACTTACCTATAACCCTACCACTAACCCTCCCCCTTACCTATAACCCTACCACTAACCCTATCACTTACCTATAACCCTACCACTTACCTAACCCTACCCTACCCTACCCTTGCCTATAACCCTACCACTAACCCTATCACTTACCTATAACCCTACCACAACTCGTATCCCCAACACTACTTCCTACACAACCCCCAGCCATACCCGTGCCCCCCACCTCCTCTCCTTCCACGCGCACTGCGGCAGCCCCCCCCCCCCCCCCCCAGCAGAACGAGTTCGATCCCCGCCTCCGGCACATTGAGAGCAGCCCCTGCTGCGGCTGAACGACTCTTTACCGGAGCGCGCCACCTGCCGTGCAAGACTTCAGAGGGACGGGATTGTCATTTGCCGTCACCGCTCCGCATTTACAAAGACACAACGGCATTCACTCTACATAGAGAGAGAGAGTTTATAATATAAAGTGTACACTCAAACTGCAACGTCCGGTGGCTTATCGCTCAGCAAAGACAGCCACAGCAATCACCCCATAGACCCGCGGTGACTGCTATGAGCTGCTGCTGCTGCTGCTCGCAAGCGGACATCCCCAGGTGTCGCACAGCAGGGCGATGATGCTACACTCCCAGGCACGCTCAAATAAAGGAGACACAACACACACGACGTAGCATTGAGTCGGCAATGCAGCAACACACACAAAAAATCGAACGTCCCCGCTGTGCGCTCTCTCTCTCTCTCTCCACCGCCCTTCACGGAAGCGTGCAAGTGACAAGCGTGGTGAAGTATGGACAGACAACCCGCGCTGCGTGCACGGCGTGGGGAGGGAAGGAGGGTGTCCCTCAACCAGCGGTGGATGAACAAAGCAGGCTGCAGAGACACCGATCACACCACCATCATCACCATCACCGCTTCGGCAGTCGCCGGGTTACAATGCGCTCGTCCGTGCCACGTGGAGCCGATGCTCGCCGGGTTCGACGTGGAGGGGGGGGGGGGGGTCCCCACGTGTGCGACACGCGGAGACCCCGAGCAGAGGGGGGGGGGGAGCGGGACTCACCTGGCCGAGGGGGAGACGAGGGGGGGCGGCAGAGGGGAGCAGCAGAAGGGGAGACGCGGGGACGGGAGAGCCGCCTCGCTTGGCCCCTGTGAATGCAGCAGGCACTCGCCAGGGACCGCGGCGAACAACAGCCACTTGTAGCCCCACCACTGCATGCGGCAAAGGGAGGCGTTTATTTACATTTTAATTGGAGCGTGTGAGAGTGTAGAGTCTGTGCTGGTGTGTGTGTGTTGGTGTGTGTTGGTGTGTGTGTATGTTGGTGTGTGCTGGTGTGTGTGTTGGTGTGTTGGTGTGTGTGTGTGTTGGTCTGTGTTGGTATGTGTTGGTGTGTGTGCTTGTGTGTGTGTGTTGGTGTGTGTGTGTTGGTGTGTGCTGGTGTGTGTGTATGTTGGTGTGTGTGTGTGTGTGTTGGTGTGTGTGTGTTGGTGTGTGTATTGGTGTGTGTGCGCTGGTGTGTGTTGGTGTGTGTGTTGGTGTGTTTGTGCTGGTGTGTGTTGATGTGTTTGTGCTGGTGTGTGTGTGTGTTGGTGTGTGTGTTGGTATGTTTGTGCTGGTGTGTGTTGGTGTGTGTGTTGGTGTGTTTGTGCTGGTGTGTGTGTGTTGGTGTGTGTGTTGGTGTGTTTGTGCTGGTGTGTGTTGGTGTGTGTGTGTGTTGGTGTGTTTGTGCTGGTATGTGTTGATGTGTTTGTGTGTGTTGGTGTGTGTGTTGGTGTGTTTGTGATGATGTGTGTTGGTGTGTGTGCCGGTGTGTGTTGATGTGTTTGTGCTGGTGTGTGTTGGTGTGTGTGTTGGTGTGTGTGTGTGTTGGTGTGTGCTGGTGTGTGTGTGCTGGTGTGTGTTGGTGTGTGTGTTGGTGGAGTGTGCTGGTGGGCTGTTGTGTGTTGGTGTGTGTGTGTGTGTTGGTGTGTTGGAGTGTATGTTGGTGTGTGTGTTGGGGGGAGCGGTAGTGTAGCGGTTAGCGCCCTTCTAACCCGGTGACCCGAGTTCGATTCCCGCTCACGGCCAACACCGGTGACGATTATCTGAACCGGTCCCGGGCCTCCCCTAGGTCGACTCAGCCTCACACACAAAGACAAAGATCCCCCGTGTAGCCTTAACCGACTGTTGGGGCAAGTGCACACGAGGGGGTGGGTGGCCAACAACCACGCCCGGCCGCCTTTGTCTCCCCAGTGGTGATGTGTACACACCGCACCGGGTACTCATTTGAGGCTGAGTCGACCTAGGGGAGGCCCAGAACCGATTCAGATGATCGTCACTGGTCGTGAGCGGGAATCGAACTCCGGTCGCTGGGTGCGTCGTGCAGTGCGCTAACCGTGGGGTGGCCTCTATCCAGAAAAGAGCTGCAGTTTGCATCATTGATAACAATGTGGTTGGAGCGGTGGCGCAGCGGTTAGCGCACTATGCAACGTCCCCAATGCAAATTGGACTCTCACTTTTGTACCGCAGCGTTTAACCTCAGCTTGAGTTGGCCGGAGCTGAGCTCACTAAAATGTTCCCGCCGCGATCGTGTCTGGGGCAATTGGACCATGCAACACAATGCGGCATCAGTCGCATTTCCCTATTGCATCACTGCTGCTATTCCAAAGTGGCACTTGCCACGTGTGCAGTGACAGTGGTCGTGGTTGTTCGCCGCGGTGCCTAACTGCGAGCGGTCTCTTGAATTGTAATTGAGCCGCAGACACGTGGTGAGGCGCCAGCGTGTGCCGGCATTACGACACGTGGTTAGGACAGGGGAGACCACGCACCCAGCCCACTCACCTGTGTTGATCACGCACCCAGCCCACTCACCTGTGTTGATCACACACCCAGCCCACTCACCTGTGTTGATCACGCACCCAGCCCACTCACCTGTGTTGAGCACGCACCCAGCCCACTCACCTGTGTTGATCACACACCCAGCCCACTCACCTGTGTTGATCACGCACCCAGCCCACTCACCTGTGTTGATCACACACCCAGCCCACTCACCTGTGTTGATCACGCACCCAGCCCCACTCACGTGTGCATAGCACGTCGCTTATGCCATACAGAGTTGATGGTTGATCGAGGGAGAGTTGACATGCCCATCTCTTTGGCTCCCGCGTCGATGCTCCCCGCTTACCACAATCCGCTCCGACCAGCGTGGTGGAGTATGGTCCACATAACCCCCATGACCAGCATGGGCCGTGCAGGCCCCAGTCCAGCAATGCAGCGACAAAAGGGCTGCACTTGCCCATTCCTCTGTCTTCATAAACAGACTGGGCGGTGGTGTTTAGTGCACTTTGTATTTGCAGTACAGTACTTATCCCATGTAACAATACAGTAATCTCGATTTAAAGCTTTCGTGGCTGCAGGAAGTCATCTTCTTGGTTCTTTCGGTAAAGTCACTTAGAATGGAAATAATTAAATAATTAAAATTAAACATAATAAAATAATTCTCACGACGTTTCGGCCACAACGCAAGCAGCCGTCCTCAGGTGGAGAACAGGTCTGTCGAGAAGACAGAGTCACGTGTATTATGTTTTTTTATTTTTTTTTATTTTATTATTTCCATTCTACGTGATTTTACCGAAAGAACCAAGAAGATGAATACAGTAATCATACATTCCAGCCATACTTAATCCACCAGATGAATGCCTCCCCAGGGTACGTCAGAAGGGAATGTATTTTGTTCATAATAACTTCCCCGGATGGTGATTGTGGGTTTGTGCAGCGGTGGAGGTCGTAGTGTGCCCGGCTCCGATGCCACCGCTGTAACCGATGTTAGCCCTTTCTCTCGTCAAATTCACACATTGGTTGTTTTTATTCGGACGACGCAAATAATTCGCTTGTTTTTTTTATAACACTGTCTATGTTTTGTCTGTGGGTCATTACAATATTATCTAATTGCACGTTCGGTACTGTCCCGTTGAGCGAGGAGGGTGGTGATGGTTGCTGGAGACAACTACACAATAGTCATTGTGTAATTGAAGTTCTCCGTTTCTCCAGGAATCTGACAGTTTGAGGGTTCAAGAGTTTCATCAGATAAAGCCGCTCGGCTCACACTCACGCCACAAGTTAAACATTATTCAAGCCGCGATGACGATGGTGCAGAGATACACCTGCGTGGCTGCACCAACCCCGGTTAAAAATGATGTTCGCGTGACGATCTCGTCGGGTGGCGGCACAATTGCTTGGCGCACTTCACTAGAAACCCGAACGGCCTCGAGTTCAAATCCAGAATCCCGTGGGTGGCAAGCGATATCTGTGAACCTGCCCTGAACCTGCCCACTTCACCAACCCCCGCACCAACCATCGGGGCGAGGGAATGGCCAAGTGACGCCAATGACTGACATGGGGAAAACTTCATCCAGCAGTGGGCTGCCCTGCGAATTGTAAACGCGGTGAATGCGTTACTTATACTTTTTTTGTTATATAAGCCAATGATACTTTATGATTCGGTACAATTATACATTTGCATTGATTTGCAATACGAGAGCCAATGACAGTGTATACTTCATATGAAGGAGACTTCGTGTCTGCCTATTTATTTTGTTATACTGTATACCGTGCTGTTATTCACCACAAGAATGCTCAAGATTACGTGAACTGAGAATAGGGTTTTCCCTGTTCATCTGGCAACAAAACAGGTGTTAAGTTGTTAAAACACCAAACTTAAACCTTTAACAAGGAATCTTTTCTGCATTAACCACAATACTTGTGGTCGAAATGCAAACTAAAAACTAAAAACATACTCTGATAATATATGCATTGTCTTTGAAACTGATTGGTCCACACCAGAGACAGCTTTCTTTTGAGCCTCGTCTCAAATGGTGTATTGTGGTTAATGCAGACATGATTCCTTGTAAAAAATTCAGTTTGGTGTTTTAACAACTTAACACCTGTTTTGTTGCCAGATAAAAGTGCAAAACCCTATTATCATATTTTGCTACTGGCAAAGCAGGTCCCATGATTACGTGAACTGTGAAAGTGCGCCACTGTTACCCTCCGTGTCCACAAGAGGGCACCCCAGCGAAAACCACCACTGATATCACCCCCATTCGTCACCGTGTTCAAAGCAACATCCATTTGTCAATCCACTGCTGGACGAAGGCCATCCCTACGCCGCGTATCGGTCATTGAGGTTGGTTAACCATACTTCACCACTCTGGTCAGTGCGAGTAGGTGAAGTGGGGGAGCGTCCATATCCCCCTCCCAACTCCGCACCGCATTCACCAATCCGCGGTGAAGTATGGTTAAGTAAACACGGCGCGGGGAGGCAATCATCCAGCAGTGGATAGTGCGGACGCAAACACAAGGGTCAATGCTACGAGCCCCTCCGTGATTGGCAAGGCGCTCCGTGGAGCTGTGTGGACTTCAGCTGCTGCCCACACGCATTCTAAACTATAAACTAAAGCTATGTTTTACTGGTAAGAACCACCTGGTTCCACCAGCCCACAGGGGATTATTGTGTCCGTCCGTCCGTCGTGAATCCAAAAATGGGAGGGGTCGGGCTGGGTGGAGAGGGGAGGGTGGGGAGGGGCTGGGTGGGGAGGGTGGGGAGGGGCTGGGTGGGGAGGGGAGGGTGGGGTGGGGCTGGGTGGGGGGTGGGAGGGGTGGGGCTGGGTGGGGAGGGGCTGGTCACCCCGTGGTGCCCTAATAAAACTCAACGTTTAACCTACTCACGCCGGCTTGTGCCCGCCCTCACAGTCGGGCATATTTACGGAATACACCACGCCGCCGTTGACCCTGGCCATTGACCGAGCCTACCAGCCCCCTCCGCAGGAATGTGTTTTTTATTTTACCAGGTAAGGCGACTGAGCTATGTAGGCCTTCTTTTTTCAGAAGCGACCTGGCCACAAATGATAGCTCAACGAAGTGGCTTATCGTGTGGACATGTATGGCAGCCAAATGCTCTAAACGCGTGTTCCTAAAGGTGGAGGGGAAAACCGGAGGTCCCGGAGAGAAATCCGCGCGACCACAGGGAGAGAGACACGCAAACTCCAAATATTCAGGCGTCAGGGTCGGGATCGAACCCACGTCCTCCTGCATACCAGGCGAGGTAGTTAACATCTCACCACCGCGGCGCCATTCCTCGCATAAAGCCCCCTTTGCTGGCACGGCGGGGTCAATTTTGATAGATGGCTAACACAACAACAGGAGCACGGTCACCTCCTACCAGAAGCGAGCCTTCCGCATTTCACGTGACGACCTCAAAGGGCACCTAGCCTGGCACGAGCGCCATGGTGATGTCACCGCCACTTAGTGGCGAACGGCGGTTGTTGTGCGTGTGTGTGACTTTTTCCATGTCTGCGTATGCGGTTGTGCAAGCACGTGTTTGTGTACATCGTGTGTGCGAGGTAGAAACTGTGGACGTATGTATTCGTCTATGACTCTATGTCATCTTATATGTGAGCTGTGTGTGTATAATGGATGGTAATTGTATATATTAGATCATGATTCAACACATGAATGATGATTCCACACCGTAGCTGATGCTGAATATGCTTGTGCATATCGGATGAGGATCATGATGATTCTGTATATGAGACGATGATAATTTTGTATAGTGATTAATTATTATTGTGTACAATGTAGTATAATGTTTTATACGGGATTATGCGGATGACGATGCCGCTGATTGTGATGTTTGTGTATGGGATGATGCTGATGATGATGTTGCACGTGAGCCGTGAGTTGGGTGGAGGGACGAGGGGAGGAGGTGAAGGTTCCTCCAAATCCCAGCACCATCACCCGCACGCGTCACTCCCATGGCAACCGCTCGCACACGTCAGCTCGGAGATGACAAACCCCGTGCGCCTTGCAGCGGCACAGCGCACGTACCTGCCTCCAGCCATTCCTCCATCCCTCCTCCGGGCAGTCCTGAACGTCTCTCGGCATTCCCCATCCTTCCTCCCTCGTGTCCTCCACCCCCTCCTCCCCCGTCCGCTGTTTCCCTCCAGCCGTCCATTCATCCCGACAGCCACTCCTTCCTCCCTCCATACAGCCCTTCCTCCCTCCATACAGCCCTTCCTCCCTCCTCCCTCCATTCGGCCGTCCCTCGACTAGGCCGGGATGCTGCCACCTCCCGCCCAGGGGCCCCGCTTCGCCGCCCCGCGGCAGAGAGCGGGGTCCGAGCCCCGTGATGTCTCCTCCATCCTCGGGATCGACTGCACGGCCGCCTCCTCCTCCTCCCGTCCTCGTCCGTCAGCCTCGGCGCTCTCCTCGTTATCTCCGCAGGCATCCCTGGCCTGCGTGTGCACCTCTTCACCCTAGTCGCTGTCCCCGTTTGTCTACTCGCAACATTGCTCTTGCTCGTCTTGCCCACCATCTTCGTCGGACGTGCACACTCCACGTCATCATCATCTTCGTAAACACCATCCTCAAATACGGTCGTCAGCATCATCATCATCACCCTCCTCTTCCTTTTCAATATCAGCATCTTCACCCTCATGCCCCTGCTCGCAATCGCCCTATTCCTCCTCAACATCATCATCCTCCTCTCCCCCTGCTACTCATCCAGCTCTTCTTCATCCTCCTGCACCTCATCCCGCCGAGGTCCTCATCCTCACGCTCAGCTCCCTTCTCTCCTCCACACTTTTGCTTCTCGTATCCCTCATCACCACCCTCCTCCAAGTCAGCCTCCTCACCTCCATCCTCTCGCTCCTCATCTTCCTCCTCCTCCTGGCGGTCACCCTCACAATCAGAACCCTTCTCCACGACAAACATCGCCACTTCGATCCTCCTCGACCATGCACAACGCCACCACCGTGGACCTGCCTCCCAGCAACTTCACCGTCACCCCGGCAGGAAGTGGCCCGTGGTTCAGCTTCACCCTGCAGCCCGGCGGACAGCAGGACCAGCAGCGGCATCATCGTCAGCAGCAAGATGATAATCGGAAGCAGGAGGTCGTGGTGCTGGCCATGCAGGCCCTGGCCATGCTCGTCATCTTCATCCTCTCGCTCTTCGGCAACGCCGCCGTGGTGCTGGTGATCGCCAAGCACAGGCAGCTGCGCACTGTCACCAACGCCTTCATCGCCTCCCTCAGTGGCTCGGACCTGCTCACGGCCCTGCTGTGCATGCCTCCCTCCTTCGCCTCGCTCTTCACCCGAGACGACGGCTGGCTGCTGAGCGACGGGCGCCTCTGTGCCACCACGGGCCTCCTCAACACGTGCCTGGGCATCGTGTCCACCCTCACCATGACGCTCATCTCCTGCGACCGCTACTGCGCCATCGTGCGACAACCTCACGGCAAAAAGATCGGCCGGCGACGCGCGGTGCAGCTGCTGGCCGCCGTGTGGCTGGGATCTCTCCTGCTGGCGGGGCCTTGGTACCTTCTTCAGGTGCCCAACAGCTGGTCCCACCACCCGCAGCAGGGCAACCAGCAGCAGCAGCAGCAACCGAGGCGCGGTGGCCTCGTGCACTGCATGTACGCATTTCACGCCGCGGCGCCGTCTCGCCTGGGCAGCTCGTACGGGGTGGCTCTTATCGGCGTCTGCTACCTGCTGCCGTTCGCCCTCATGTGCTTCTGCCACTACAACATCTGCAAGACGGTGCGCCTCTCCGAGGTCCGCGTGCGCCCCGTGGCCACCTACGCCTACCTGCTGCGCTTCTACAGCGAGATGCGCACGGCCACCACGGTACTCATCATGATCGTCTTCATCATCGTCTGCTGGGGGCCCTACTGCGCCATGGGCATCGCCCGAGCCGCGGGGGGCTACACGTTCACGCCGGGCCTGGACGCGGCCGCAATGTGCATGGCGTGGGCCAACGGAGCCATCAACCCGCTCATCTACGCGGCGCGCAACCCCAACATCTCCATGCTGCTCGGGAGAAACCGGGAGGACGGATACCGCACGGGTAACCCCATCGCCTCGTACCTCTCGAGCCAGGGAAGGGCGGCCGGAGGGGGCAGGAGGGGCCGGGCGGACCGGCTGCGGGACCGCTACGCTGATCGGCCCCATCAGCACCAAGGACAGCACCATCATCTGGGGCAGCAGCACCAGGGTCTACAGCAGCAGGGGCAGCAGCTGCTGGCTGCCACAGGCGCGGGCGGGCAGCGGCGTGTCCTCGTCCAGCCCGGGCAATGGAGAGCTCGCCATGTGGGCTTGCAAGAGCCCAGCCGCACTCTTCTGCACGGAGGTGCCCGGTGCCGAGACTTTGCCCGCGGGGGCCAGTGTGCAGGATACCGCTAACACGTGCCTCTAGAGCGGGATTGAGGCCAGCATCAACCTGGTGTGGCCTCTTAGACTGCTCGTGGCGATGATAGTGGTTGGTAGTCTGCCAGACTTGGTCCGTCGGACAGCAACGGCACAAACTTGGTGCGTGGTCTCACACTGCTGGTTGTGGTTGTGACCTGGAGCGCAGGAACAACACTCACCTGCTGTGGCCGCCGAACGTGGTTCTCGGACGTGGTCGGTAGCCCAGGACCAGCAATCAACCTCGTGTGGCCTGCAGATGAGGTCACTTCACCCGAGCCCAGCGTACATGCCGAGGAACTAAGATGCAACCTGCAGTTGTAAGTGAAGAGTGTTTCGATCACCCTACGACCTATTTGTATCCGTTTACAATTACCGTGCAGTTGTTCTCCAGATTGAGTGGCAGTGCAGAGATTTGCGCGCTGTGCTCCGAAACCGACGAGCCGAGTTCGATTCCCGTTCACGGCCAACATCGGTGACGAATATCTGAACCGGTCCTGAGCCTCCCATAGGCCGACTCGGCCTCAAATGAGTACCTGGTGCGGTGTGCACATCGTCAATCAGGAAGACAAAGGCGGACGGGCGTGGTGCTGGCCACCCACCCCCTCCTGTGCCACTTCGGCCTTCGTAAGTGCTCACGAAACATTTGCTCCAAACGTCTATTAAGGCGAAACGGGGGGGATCTTCGTCTGTCTTTTGTCCAGATTGAGAATGTTGTATACCGAGTCTTGGTTAATGAACAAGGGAGCACTCATCAGTCTTAAGCTGCAAAACAATGCACCAACATCCCAGCTCTGGTGTCGTGTTTTCCACGCGTGGGTGGTGGGGATGTGCAACTTCGCACGGTGATTATGCCTCGACCCCACGCGCGTGTTGCTTGAAATAGAACGAAACTCTGAATGGGGTGGCGATTGCCTCCTTAAGCAAGTCGTGAGCCACCCCTCAATTAAATCATCGCCCTTCAGATGTATATCAGGGGAGGTATTCTAATATTGGCTTTAATATTGTCGCCAGTATCTGGGATTGGTTCTAACATATGGTGACATTCAAGAGTTGTCCAATGCTAATGCCTGGGTTTAATCTGGGTACTCGGGCATTCTCCCACATGATGAAAAAGCGTCCCGAATGCAATTTGCCAAATATCCTTGAACATTATGGACTCCGTGAGTATATGGTTAAAAGTAGTAAAATATATAACATAATTTTACAGGTTAACATAATTACGTCATTGGTCTAATAAATTAGCACCACTAGGGCATTACCACCCCTAAGTGGCACAAATTTCTGAACTACAAAATGATGCAGATTTACATCCGAATTATCTCGTAAATCAAGTGGGAGCTCATGACTCCACGTTTAGGAGGACACAATGGCTCAGAGTTCATACGTGCAGAGGAGCTGGAACTCTGGGCCAAGGCAGGGCTGGAGGATTTCAGAAACGTTCGTCAAGGCAGGGTGCACAGACGAGAAAAACCCAACCGCAGCTCGGCTTTTATTTACAATTCATCTCAATTGTTATTTTGCCCTTTGTGTTTGCCATCACACCTTGGAGACGCAGATGACTCATACACATGGCCACGATGACTATTGTGCAGATAATTGGGTAGACGGAACGGGAAAATCGGAGATGTTAATTACGATAACTGCCATGCCAGTGGTTGTCATGGGTGACGCAATACAAAAAAACTCTGTCGTGTGAAAGTTCACTCATTTGGACAAAGCTACACATGCAGCACCAAAATGTATTTTAGGAAAGTGTTATATTTATATATGTGCAAGGGGCCAAAACATTCCCAACAAACATTTAAAGTGCCATCTTTTTAAACTGAAGACGCTCAATAAACTCGCAAGTGCTAGATTTAAAATCACTTTACAAATCCTGTGTTGTAGTGTCACGTGCCTCGTGAGAGTACCTGTGTAGTGACCAGATGTTGAGTATTTTCCCGTGAGCGATTCATCCCTGTATGTCGTGTTGTGACGTGCCACTCTCTGAATTGTCTGCCGCAGATGTCTCATCATATGTGTTACGTGTTCAATAAACGACACAGCCCATCGCGCTACCTCTCTAAATCTCCAATACAAAGCAACTTCAACCGATCGCTATGCGCTGTACAAACTATTCTCGCGTCAAAACTCCTCTCAAAATCTTGCCTTCGTGCAACTCTCTTACAATCATGTAGAAAAAGCAGTGGTACATACAAAAATCTGGCAAAGGGTAACATTTCAGGCCACGCAGGATGTGCAATTGGAGATTGCAATATAATGGGAACGGTCTTCTCGTGAGATCAGAGCACAGTGACACAACAAAGGGTTGGTAATATAAAGCTGTGCAAATTAACTAATTTATAATATAAATTAATGACCATCTCAAAAAGCCACCTGGCGCACGTTACCCAGTGTCTGTGACGGGGACTGCCGTGTGCACACCAGCGCATCCTACGATCCCAAGCGGCACACCACAGGGTACATTTACACTGCCAGCACTCTATCCAAAGACCCATCTTGGGTGTGCAATGCTGCCAAAAAGCCTTGGGACCGACGTGTCAGTAACATCATCTTCTGTTCCCGTACAACGTACCCACTTTCAATCAATGGTCGTTTAAAATCTGAACATAATAAGATGTTAAGCTCAATAGCCTGTTAAACACAGCACAATCGTGTTAAATAAAGCAGCCACTGTACTACTTTTTCAAAGAAATTACTTTATTAGAATACATGATACCGCAAAATTTAGGGGTTTTTTGGCAGTCCAATTATTGTGATGCATCCATTTAAATGTATTCTTTTTTTGTTATTATTTATGTACATAAGCATTTCACTATGCTCACATTTCAGGCATAAATTACTAAAATATTTCGTCACTTGTGAATGGTCTGCGATAGCCCAGGATACCAAAGCAGGAGGAGCCCGAAGTGGCGACGCCGTGGACACGCATGGTCACTCGCCTCGGAATTCCCAACAAGGGGATGGATATGCAACATCTTAACATTACTTATGGTGGAAACAGTATCAAAATGGGTGGTGTCCTCTCGGTTTGGTTACTGTGAAGGGCACGCACCCACAGTGGTGGAACACCAATCGTGCACCCTCTTCGCCCGTCCCTTTAATACGGTGTCACGCGGTACCAGGGCCCGGTCTGGCGATGGGAGGACACGTAACGCGGCAGTTCTTTGGGCTTCGTCGCACGGCGGACGCGAGCGAGAGAGCGATCGAGCGAGGGGCAAGTACTGAAAAGATTCGAAGACGCGGTGAGCGTTTTGGCGCGCAGCGTCAGCCGAAGCCGTTTACGGCTCGGCCTGCGTTGCCGTGGCCGGGCCGGCGCTCGAGGGAGGCATGCTGCCCGGGGCGCCCTGGTCCGGGGCGCCGCGGCTCACGCCGTCGGGGGCGGCCAGCGCGTCGGGCCGTGTTGGGAGAGGGGCGACGCCGGGGGGGAAGGCGCCGGGAGGACCGCCCCTTGGGGGCGAGTAGATGGGGGGGCCTCTCCCTGTTGGGTCAAACGCGCAGAGCGCACAAAAAGCTGCGTCAGAAAAAACTCAAAAGGCAAAAGGGCTTTGGCCTCTGATAAACCACAACACCCTTAACGCGTGATCACAAAGAGTACAGTGCAACTTGGCTGTGCAGTAGACACTCGTGGTCCAGCAACTCCGGTAATCACAACCAATGGAATGTATTATAAGCAAATGGCAATAATTGTCTCCATTGTGTTTACTCTCCAGGTTCACGTTGTTTTATCTGGAAACTTTCCAACTAAATAGCATCGTATTTACAAAAAACACTTCCTTTCAATTTAGTTGTTCACACTATACGCCATGTGCTTGCACAATCACTGTGTTAGTTCCCTAAATCGTTAAGCCCTCATTTGCACCTCTTTAGAAGTTCCTCACAATGGGTCGGTCTCTGGGTTGGTACAATGTCCACCCACTGAGGCCAATTATTTTACATTGTTTAGTTCCCAACGTTATTTCCCTTTCTCGACCCCTGTTCACTTGTGTTACACAGCACTGACAACGATAATAAAGGCAAAGCTCCCTGAGAAGGCACTCACAAGCAGCAGCATGCGGCGGCCCTGGATAGCGCTCCGGAGGCCCGTAGGGGCCCACGGGAAGGGGACCGTACATCCCGGGTGGCCCAAGTGGACCGCCCGCTCCGTAAGGAGGGTAGGGCCCGTCAGGGTGGCGGTCGGGAGCCGGGCTGCCGTACGGAGGTCCCGGGGGCGGCAGGGGCCCGCCCGGTGGATACGGCCCGTAGCCTCGTGCCAGGTTCATGCCCTGCGGCATGGGGGGCCGGTGATGCAGCGTGGGGCTCATGAGCGGCGGCGCCGGGCCGAAGGCGGCCGGCAGGTCCTGGGGCGGACGCGGAGCTCTCTGCGACGTGGGCGACGTTTCAAGCGGAAGTTGAAATCCTTGGTTGGAAGAAGAGGAGACGGGCCTGCGTGCCCCGTCGACTCCCAGCGGAGGGGAGGGACGCCCGCTGCTGGAGGGCGAGGAGCGCAGAGATCCCTCCTGAGCTGGAGGGCCTTAGGGACAGGGACATCAACGTGAAGGGCACATAACCACGGTGACGTGACATCAGTTGTGCACCCTCTTTGATGCCCGAATCCACTCTCCACCACAATACGAGGATATCAGGACCATCTGAACAGTCTGGAAAACTCCGGCATGCAGACTCCGATTATTCTGGCCGTCGAATGCATGCGACCTTGTGAAAATTAATCGTACTGACAACATTCAGAATAGCCCGAGAGAAGAGAATATGTTTGTAGACCAATATATCCATCATAAAACATAACCCTTCACCCTCTGACCCAGACCATTCCACAAACCCGTACTCCCACCCACGCAGATCACAAGGCACCCTGAATTACAATCTAATGCTCATCAGTGTCTTGAAATAAGGTTGGCTTTGTATTGTTTTAAAATCCTGATTGTATCATATTGTATGATCACAAAGGAGCATTGTCCACCACGATCCCTGACCCCGCGTGGCCTTATCACAGCCGACTCACCCCTGCGTGCAGAGGGAGGGCCCCGTGGTTGCTGCCCCTGGCGCTCCTGGTTGAGCCTCAACTCCATGTCTGTCACCCTGTGGGAGGAAGAGTTGACCTCGATGATTAATCAAAGCATTAACGAGGAAAAACGGAGAGATACACTGCCGGGAAAGTGGTTTGGCTGAAGCATGAAACCGCCTCTGCGGCACGTGTTGTGCCTAGAACCTCCGGCATTCGAAGGCTAATTATTTCGGCTATCAGCTGCATGCGACCTTGTTAAAATGAAATGTACTGAATTCGTTAGGAATAGGCCGAGATAAAAGAAAAAAACATAAACATTTCACAAAGTCCGTCTTGTGCACGGACCGGCCGCGGGGAAATTTAATTTCACGCTTCACCTCTGCCTGAGATTGGACGCCTCCCTCTTGGCATTTAGCAGCTCCCGTTCAGCTTGCCGCGCCGCCACCTGCCAACGAAACAATCACACCGACCGCTTTACATTTGACGTGTGGCGACGACGCGCAAGTACGCGTGCACGGGACGCAGCGTGCGCACGCCATGCTTAAAAGATAAAGCGTTCGTCTCGTGTCCCCACGTGTGCCAAACGAGGCGGCGTGACGGCCGATCGGCTGAGAAGACAGTCTGGGAGCAACCCACCGCAAACAGCCCACCACAAACAGCCCACCGCAAACAGCACACCCGACGCACCTGTCCGGTTGTCTGATCGTTCATCCGTTATTGGTTTTAAGACGAAGATTGATTGGGATGGTGCAGTGTGCGGGCAGGGCAGCCCGAGTCACACCGCGCATCACACGTTAAACAATAAAGTGAGTAAATAAGGTAGTGATTTGCTGGAGCACTGCGGGTTACACGCAAATGTGCGTATAAAAATACAACTGTCATAAACAGACAGGTTCTTAGCACTTAATTTCCCCTGGGGAGTACACCATGATGACCTTGATGTACATTAAGGAGACAGCTGCTAAAGAGCCAGAGAAGACGGCAAATAAGAAGCATATGCGCGCGCACAAGGAATTTTTGTAATGAGGATACTTACCCAGTTGTTGTGCGCTTTGTGATCATTTGCGGAGAGCTAAAAAAAGAAAAACACAAACACGACGCTCCCATCACACGTGCTCGTCACGGCGAACGTTTGCAACCAAATGAGTGCTCGTGCACCAACAACGACTGGACAAACACATACCTGAGTCTTGTATGAGCGCTCTGTTTTTTCAAGTTCTTCCTTAATGTCCTGAACTTGTTTCCTAAAAGAAAAGAAAAAATGATGCGGTGAATATATTGTAAAGTCTGACGTGGAGGATATCATGCAATCCAGAGATTACGAGGCACGGCACAATGACGAGTGAAACGTCAAAACCCATTTTGACTACAAGGTGGCTATAAGACAGTACAGCAAGTGGGTTCGGGAATCAAGTCTGTGCGGACCATTGAGTGTTATCATCATCATTGGAACCTCATTTGCCAGTAAAAAATATGATAATTGGTTTTTTACCCTTCTATCTGGCAACAAAACTGAAAAAAGGTGCCAGTTTTGTTGCCAGATAGAAGAGTAAAAACCAATTATCATGTTATCATCATGTACGGTTTTATTCAGGTCCTTGTGTTTCCTCCTACACGCAAACACTCCTCAAAAATGAAGTGGGCAAACATCCCAATTCAGAACTCTGCTGACAAGAGGCTTTACAGGATAAGCCAATCGCAATGACGATATTTACTCCGCATTAAATGGATCGGACGTCCGCACGAGCATGGCTGTCCAACAGTGGTGGCAAACTTACCTGTAGAGGCTGGCTTCCTCCAATGCGTTCTTCATCTTCTCGTCTGCAGCAGAGATGGCCTGCTCCCTCTGCTCACGCTGAAGCTCCTCCTGCATCAGTCGCCTGCGTGGCCACACGAACACACACACGTACGTGCATGTGTACGCGTGTTGGCACGCATGCACACACGAAAGACACTACTGGGAGCAAGTGCTGCTCGCGGGCACATATTAAAGGCTGGTACGGGCACACGATGACCAAGTGTGACCAGCACCACACCCAGCCACTTTTGTCTCCCCAATGTTGATGTTTGCATACTGCACCAGGTACTCATTTAAGACCAAATAGACTTATGGGGAGCCAAGGTCAGGAATAAAATTCACCTACCTCCGATCCAGAGCAATGTATTCCAATAAACACATTTACAAACCCACGCACACTCGACATTCAGACTGCACGCGAAGCCTTTGCGCGTCCACGGACTAACGTTATTTGCCAAAGCACAACATGCCATTATCCCACCGGCTAGTGGCTGCCACGTTATCACATTCGTTGGAATGGCTGTGCAAAGCGTGTGCAGGCCTCACCACCTGTGCCTGTAAAACGTCCCTAGTGTAAAGCAGACAGAGCAGTGGCCTGAGGGCGTGCTGGAGAGGCGGCTCACCTCTGCAGGTCCATCTCCTTCTCGTGAAACATCTGCGTGGCAATCTCCAGCTGCTGCTTTGTGCGCTGCAGTTCGGCCTTCGCCTCCTCCCGCTCGCTGTTCATCAATTCGCTCTGTGACTGTAGGCCCTTCACCAGATCTGCAGGGCAGCAGCGCCAGTTAGGGTCGTGTGGCGAGGGTGGGGGGCCGGAGAGGGGTGGGGGCCGATATTTTGGAACTGAACATCAACTTCACAACCCCCCGTCACCCCCCGTAGATTTCAGCTGCAGAGACAAGTTTCACCTCCGTAGCCTATGCACTTCCTCACAGCAACCCACTTTAGTTACATATTCCGGGCCAAAGACTAACGGTCGTGGCTGATGTCATGCATCGCACCATGCTCAAGATATGGACACGTATAGCCCTTGTGTCAGTCCACTGCTGGATGAGGGCCTCCACAAACCATGCAAGATGTAGGGTTTATTTGACTATTTTTCGCCAGAATATGGTTTATGATTAGTGGAGCCGCGACAATCTTTGTGAGAGGCATACGGCAAGCATTCCCCCTTGAAGAGCTCGACGGAATGGCTGCAGTGTGCTGCATTTAGAAGCAATAGCAACCGCAGATTTACCATCAACTTCCTTCCGTGACTTCATCTCATACGCGAGCTTCTCCCATGTCTTTTTCTTCTCTTCTTCAGCGATCTTCAACTTTGTGTTGAGCTAAAGACACATGTTTTACAAATGATTGGTATGTGGCACACACAGCTTTATAGAAGAGCAAGCAAATGGCTGCAGGGTTTTTTTTAAAACAAAGCCTTAAAAGCAGGTGACCGTTCCATCCAATAATGAATCATGGTAAAAAGCGACAAAAATCAAATGAATTCGGGTGATGTTCGAGTTGACATGTTGCCCCATTGTTAGTTTTATTTCGCAGTCACTTTATAGCCATTTCCTGTTTGCCAATGGCTACAAACAGTGGGAGTGTAAGCCTGGGCATGCACATTCAGCGGCAGAACAAAGGCCTCAGAACAAATCAAAGGCCACGGAACAGAACAAAGGCCGTGCCGATCCTCGCAAACATGCTCAGCAGCACCACCCAGCAGACTCCTGCAGAGCCACACTTCCTATAAAAAAATATCCTTCGGGCGTGACGCCACCAGGTGCAAGATTCCCACAAAAGCCACGATTCCCAACACGCCCGCCGGAGCGAGGTCACAGCACAGAGTCCCGAGGGGCTCACAGCGACAAGAGCCCCGTGGAGCGATCATGCAGACAGGAAGTGGGGGACAGGCGAAGCGCATCGGACGCAAGAGAAAATAAACCTCAAACAACTCACTCTGGCCACATTCATGAGACCTTCTACCGTCTGGAAGACACAAATTGACACTTAACATAAATGTGTGTGTGTGGAAGGTTGCATGCTTTGTATACATGGGTCAGACGATCCTGTTGCTTGCCTGCCTGCAACTTGACTTGGAGAGGTCAGAGACTCTACACCCCCAGCCCCATCCCTTTCCAGACTCCTACAATTCCATATTCGACTGAGGGGTCCAGGGCCTTCAGGCAAGGGGTGGGGGTGCATGGGACTTTTCATGAAAGTCAACCTCTACAACTCTCCAAGTCACACTGACAGCAGCGGAGTTCGAAGCACATTATGATTTATAAACATTACGACGCAAATACACACACACGACTCAAGAAATTGGAGAAGAAAGGCACATATTTTGCAGTCAAGAGTTCAAACAAGTGTGATAACCACAATCATTTTGAAAAGCGTACAGCTCTGGTTTTTGACCGAACACCATGCAGCAGCCAGTGCCACATCCGTTGAAGCGATCCACCCACCCACCTTGGTGGCATCCAGCAGATTTTTCACTTTGTCCTTTCTTGTTTCTAATTTAAAGAAAAACAAAAATAAGCCGTTAATATCTGCCCATGACGTGCTTTGTGGACCGACCATTAGAATGTGCCTCAGAGAAATTTGTTTGAAAATGTCACCATGATAGCAACATATTCAAATTATTCATCATCATCATTGTTATCCTCAATTTGTGTTCATTAATCACAAAAAATCTCAGATCTCAGGGCACCAACAAATTATAATTAAGAGGACTGGTTAAGCACAAGAGTTAATCAAAAATGTTTCAAGTCAAACTATGATCAAGACACGTGAATAGAATGTGTGCCATTTAAATACAACCAGAGGTAATGCACCAAAGTGAGTCAAAACAACAACAAAATAAATCGAAAGAAATAAAGATCAAAATGAAACCTGTGTGTGCAGTAATGTTCATCTTCTCCATCAAAATATATGTATTCCGGAATGACCTCCTACAAGTAATACGCCGTTATAAATATGTATATACTCTTTGGTTCTTTCGGTAAAGTCACGTAGTTAGAAATAAAATAAAATAAAACAAATCACGACGTTTCGATCGCAACACAAGTGGTAGTCATTGCCTGATGACGTGACTTCACCGAAAGAACCAAAGAGTATGGATTCCTGCAGTCACGAAAGCTTAAAAAAAACATGTATATATTTAATAATAACCTGAAGGAACCAATTGTTCCTGCGCCCTTAACATGCGATGGTAACTCAATCTTTTATTTCTTAAACCCGTACGTGAAAGGGCACCCAATTATCAAAATCTAGAGCAATGTGGTCGACAACGGAACTTGCGGACAAACCTTTCACTCCACCGTTATTGCAATTTGAAGATGTCATCTTTTCTTTAGCGTGCTCTTCCCCAGAGGCCCCCTCATCCTCAGAGTCCGAGTCCAGCTCCTTGAGTTGCAGGAAGCTTTCCTTCAGAGTCTGTGCACAGCAACAGCAGAGGCAGTACATTGTCATGTTAAGTACCTTGACTGTGTGTCTCAGGCTGTCAGAAAAGAGGAATAACCTTTGGCCAAGCACACCTCAATGGCACTCTCCATTATTTATAATGATTAGTGTTGTGCTTGTTTACCCAGGAAAGCCTTATTGAGTCAAGACTTTTCAGCACGGTCCTACTAAGTTTTCACAGTAGGGAGGCGATGCCGCTGCTGTGTGTAATCCCGATTGAGATCTTTCCAGGTAAATTTCGGCGTTGGTATGGGTTGTTTTTTTAGCTATGGGGAGGAAACCAGAGAACCCGGAGGAAACCCATGCATGACATACACTCCACGTATAGAAAGGTATAGAAAGGTGCCCAAGTCATAAATCGAATCCATTCCCTTGCGTTGTGGCCGAAACGTCGTGAGAATTATTTTAGTATGTTTTATTTTTATTATTTTATTATTTCCATTCTACGTGACTTTACCAAAAGAACCAAGAAGATCAGTCCCTTTTTGTTGCAAGGCACGGGCATTACTACTGCTCCACCCTGTCACCCCAAAAGTGACATCATTGCACAGTTTTATTTCATTAACATGTATAAAGATGATATCATAGTGATATCACTATAGTGTTAAAATGGCTATTTTGACCATAACCTTCAAGTATTTTTTAAATTCTGAAAGCTTCAATCTAGTATTTTATAAACAGCCCAGGGCAAGACAGCCTACTGGATATGTACAAACAAGATAAGAGCTGTTTATTTTTTGGCTGCATCTTTCATGAACAAGCTTCTGAAGGCAAGTAAACTTTGTGGCAAGTGCTTCTGGCAGCTGTGCCTACCTACATTGCCTGCTAATAACTATAAAGGTCAAGTTAATTGTGTTTAATCATGTGAGGACTCAAGAGTCTAGGATAAATCTCATTTTCAAGTGGCCTGGGTCACCAAAATGACAAAAGTAAAACAAGTAAAAATAAGTACAGCAATGATCCAAATAGATATCAGCACAAAAACAACTCTCAAATGAAAAATATTGCGCAAACGTAATTATACGTTAAATTATAAATTCCTGATAGTGTAAGTTGGCTCACGCAGATTATTCTTAAGACTGATAAGAGTAAAATCACAAAATAAAGTTACAGAACAGTAAACAGATATAGGATGACAACCACACTAACATTTCAACAGTCGCCCTGTGCAGCTGCAAATCTTGAATCTTCAAGGCCTGGAATCAATTTCAAATTGGCCATCTTGTTGGCACACAATTGTGACGAGCTGCAGAGTTGCCTCCCGGCGCAGCAAAAGGTCACGGCCAAGAAGGAACCAAATCTACCAAAAACATACAAATAAAACTAAACCATCCCCATCCTGCCAGAGAAAGCCCACTGAGGTATTAACTATTTTTCAGAAGCAACCTGGCTATCACAACTGAGGGCCCAACAAAATGCACGAGGTGCGAGGCATCGGGCCATGCGACCTCACCTCAATCTCTCTGTCTTTGATGGTCACCGATTCATTGAGGTCTCGGATGCTCCTCTGCATGAGGCTCATTTGCTCCTGGAGCTCGGCAATCTGCTCCATCAGCTGCGCCTTCTCCTGTTCAACCTGGGGCAGTCAAAGGCGCGCAAACGGCACACGGCCGTGCGTAGCCACAGGGACGTCAATTACGGTGAACGCCTTCTCTGTCTCAGGGACACCAAAATCAACACGGCATAAACAATCACACAGCTAACACCGCACATAAACGATGTAAATGCTATGAAAAAATAATAAAACTAAAAAAGTGGTGATCGTAATTAAAACAAACAATGGAGACTAGACAGATAAAAATAGTTAACAGAATATGTAACCTAAAATATCTGCTAACATGTAAGCATATACAAAAGCTGTGCGGCCCAGGATATCCAACTCTAATGACATCATAGCTTTCGAACAGGTAAAAGTAGTGACATCAATCACGTGCAATGACAGAAGGCTGGACTTTAAATCCTTTATTTCGTGTTTAAAAAAACTTCAAACTTGCATTGGAAAAACAAAATTGCTCAGCCTAGATCCGTATTTACAAAACAAGATTCAATTATCTATTGAGCTGAGTCTTTATTTATAAGCTCACGGGTAAGGAATGTTAAACAAGTAAAGGGCAGGTGACCAAATCACCCAGAATGATAAGCAGTTTGGAGCCTGCAAAGTGCTTTGATGGGAGACCACCATGCATACAACAGATGTCAAGGGGCTACAGGGCTACGTTGTGGGCAGTAGACGGCAGCGCAACAAAATCCATTGTTGTACTGTACTCTACTACAACGGATATTGAAAGTTCAGCACCTTCACCAATCCACACTGACCAGTGTGGTGAACCACGATGACCCCTGCGAGCCTCAGGGTGCGGGAAAGACCTCATCGAGCAGTGGCCAGGCAAAAGTGCTGTACATGTACAACGTGTAAATTAACCAATTGAGTTGCGAGGCAATCGTGTGATGAGTGAAGGCTTTAGTCAGACCTGCTGCTTGCGCTGGTTCAGGGCCTTCATCTCGCCGTCGATGTGGTAAATGCGTTCCTCCAAGCCCTGAGCCTTCCTCTCAGCCTCCTCAAGCGCATCATTGGCCTGCAAACACCACAAGACTCGCTAGAGCTGCAAGCCCACCAACAGCGTCCCTGTGAACAATCGCGGCATCAATCACCGTAACAAACTCGCTCAATGAAGCGTTACTCATATTTACATCTCAGGCTTACCTGCGCAATCTGAGCCTTCATGGCAGCAGTGCTCTCCTCATTCACCTGGGCCTTTTGCGTCTGCTCCAGAAACTGCGGAACGAACAGTTTCATTACGACACCACTTGTCTCGATTACCGTTATCAACGTGCATACACTTAACCCCTCTCCTCGGTCTTATTAGCATCAATAATCACTCTTTGAGTACAGTCAGTCAAGATGCATGCTCTCGCCGTGCGACGTGTGTTAAAGGAATGATTAAAACCCAAAACGTTTCGAACCATCATTTTAAGGCTCTTTTGGAAGATCACCCTCACCTCCTTCTCATACTGCTTCTCTTTCTCTCTTGCCTCTTCCAGGTCTGCCTTCACCTGGGACAGCTCCTGCTGCAGCTTCTCTCTGGCGTCGGTGAGACGGTCGCGCTCACTCTGCACCCAACCACAAAAGCACGTCACAAAAGACCCACAATGGATCACGTGCGAGGCCCCAGCAACTTCCTCTAGCCCCAACGTTTTTTATTTATTTAGCGAATGCTTTTACACGTGACTGTCATTACGTTAAAGCTCCAGGATATGCAAGAAAAATAAATGTTTGTTAATATTATATTGTGCGAGCGGACGTCAGTCCACGTAGCCACAAAGCTATGCGACAACCTCCTCCTCCAGCACTTGCAGGGCAACAAACAGTCCGGCCGGCACACCCTGACGGACCTCGCAGCCGGAGACGATGTGCAACTACCAAATCAGTTCAGTTTAGCGTAGACTACAGTATACAGGAATAATTCTAGATTTCAGGTTTTCGTGACTGCAAGGATTCATACTCTTTGTTTTTTTTTGGGAAAGTCACGTAGATAAAAAATTAAATAAATGAAATAAAATAGCATGAAAACAACTGTCTGGAAGCGACAACCATCACTGCAATTACCGAATTGATGCGGAAAACAAAGCCCGAAGTATGTGCCGGCAAGCAGGCGTCCCATTGACTTACCTGGAGTTCTTCGATTTCTTCCGAGGTTGAATCGAAACGAATCGCATCCTTGATTTCCTGGTCCTTCTCCTGGAGCTGTGAGCGGCACCAAGCAAAGGGAGCAATGTTTTGAGCAGCAGAGCCACAGCCAGGGTGGACTCGCACACAGCGCACGCGAAAAGCACGGCACCGCTCATCCCCAACCCTCGCGACAGTGCCCCGGGTAAGGGGCGTTAGCACGGGTTCAGCTATAGCGCAGCTCATAAACAAGGACTCCGATCCACGGCTTGAACAGGGCGTCAGCCCTCCTCTTTCCCACAGCAATCTTATCACATATTTACACAACGGTTGGTTAAGCTGTTGACATTTGTTGGTGAAATGTTCTTGACTTAACCATATGGACGGCCCATTATGATAATCTCCAGTGAGAGGCATAGTTAAGTTTTACGAGGAAAATCACTAACTGTAATTTATTTAAAAAGTTCAGACACGATGGCTTACTCTTGTAAATATATCACAGTCTTTACTGTTCACTTTGTATAATATTGCACACTTCTGTATAAACTTCCCCCCGCACCTCCGATGAACATAGCTGGCTATGTGCGGTGCAAAAGAAGTTCAACATACGTACATACAATACCGTGTGGATACTACCGGTTGAATATTCTAACAGACTGAGTGCTTGACGCGCTGACTACGACTAAGCTAGCGAGGCACGGTTCAGATGAAACACAAACGGGGGTCCTTATAGCCCACACAAACAGGTGGGGTTGCTCTATCATTAGTTGGCTCCTGCAGTGGACACTTGGCACGTAGCAATTCATCAAATAAAATAAATTATTACATTTATGTTACATGCGTAAAATCGCAAACGCAAAAACTAATTAATTTCAATGTAAGCAATTTATAGCTTAGATTAACAGCGTAGGTACCTTAAAGGTAAAGGAACGATTAAAGCAGTACAAGTTTATTTTATTTAACAGGGTCAGAGCTCAAGAAACCAGGATGTAGTCTCATCCCAAGAGTGACCTCGGCCACCATAAGGACAAAAGCAAAACAAATAAAACGAAATGAACAAGACGAACCATATAAAACAGATAATACAAATAGGTCCGTGTGAACAAGTCAAAAAAGGTTCGATTATTGTATTGAATTGTAACCCAAGTAGTGACAAATCACTAATTACATTTTGAGGTGGATTGTTACATGCCTAGACTTTACGGTCCACTTCACATTCAATGCAAACCTTTGTTAATAACAACACCGAGCAGAACCTATCGGCGGCTACCTCTAGTGGGAGAAAAAACGTTCACTGTTCCACTGCCTTAGTGTGGAGCACGCCGATCCCTGCGATACCGAGGCACTGCCCAAACTAAAACCCAAACCCTGGTTCGCATTGCCCCAGACTGACACAGGGTAGCCGCGCCCTCACCACCTGACTTCTCCTGCAGACACCCACCTGTGCTTGGAGGTTTTGGAGGTCGCTGGCCATCCTGGATTTGTCCTCCATATGGCTCCTGATGGTATCCACGAGCTGTGCCTCCGTCACTGGACAAGCGGCAGATTAAACACGGACAAGGATGCTCTTAGCCGCAAGTGACGGATGCGTCGTGGCAAACCAAACAAATGTCCCCCCCCTCTGCAGATGAGGTCACGCAACTCAACGAGCGAAATTCTTCAAAAGATTTTGCAACAATAATCTCCTGACGTCAATTTTCCAAGAGATGAAAACGAGACGCCGTTTTGCAAATTCTAAACGCAAACAGCTTGGCTCCACCTGGCCAGAGCTTGGTCCATGGTGAGTGCATATGAATGCAGGGACACACAAGCATGATCACGTTTCTAAATCTCAGCATGTCTTGTAAAATGCTCTCAATTAAAAAAAAAACTTTGGCATTGTTCGAGTTTAAGAGATAACCAAATTTAGAACTAATTCCCGAATTACCACCAAAATAGTTTAGCTTTTCCAACTTTGTTCATATGAACAAGCAATGTAAAACGGACTCTAAAAGTAAAAAAAAATATTGGCACAACGCAACAATCACTATTAAATAGAATAAAAATACTCACGTAAACAAAACTTCTTTTTTATCTGAAAAAGAGAATACAACATCAGCGGTAAAAAATAAAAAACGAGCCAAACCCCTTCACCGCCACATGATCAATAAAACATGTGAATTATAAACTCTAAGGCGACCCCACGTCCGTATATCTGAAGAGAGAAGGGACCACGTGGCAGCACTGAGAAAACACAGCTGGAGGAGGAGTGGTGGCGGGGGGGGGGAGAGAGGAGGAGGGGATAAAGAGGATAAGGAAAAGGAGGCCTCTCCACTGGCCACCTAAGACACGTTGTGCTCCCAGTGGTGCTCACCCGTAGGCGGATGAAATAGAGGTGGACCGCGCCGAGGAGGAAGAGGAGGAGGCTGAACAGCAGCAGGACATCCCATGGGAAGCCATAGAGGTCGGATTCCGGTTCCATGCCCAGAGGGAGTGCCGACAGCGTCTGTCCAACACAGGGGTGAAGCGGGAGGGTGGCGTTCTCAAACTGATCGCTTTGATTGTGAGGGGCGGGTGACACGGCATGAAACCATTCAACCCCCCCAGCTATGTGATGAATTGTCACAATTTGTGGTTGCCATTCCATTTCAGAATAAAACCATTATGTCAGTCTTGTGTTGTTTCTCGTTTCTTCAGCTTTGTTTGCTGCAAGAGGCGAAATCAACGTTTATATACGATGTGTATAATTTTCATGAATTGTAAATAATCAATTCCATACGCACAACTTGATACATGTATTGTGAGCAAAATAATTTACTTTAATCTATAAATCGATATAACCTTACATACCTATGGGCTACAACGAATGGCAAAGCTTTGATATAACAATGAAATTGCGCCCATTCACGTAAGCAAACATTCATGCATACACAGCAGCGGCAAAGTCATAATAATAATGTCATTCATTTGTGCAGAGAAGCTTTACAGTCTCACGATTATTTTCCATGAGGGCCCTACATTCTCATATTTGTGGTAGGGCATTCAAGAATAGCGGGGGGGGGGGGGAACTGGAGAAACCCAAATAAAACCCCACCGACACGGGTGGATTACTCTCAAAAGCTCCCCACAGATGAGTAGAGTACACGGACCCACTTTCTGGACTGCTACCTCATAACCACTCACATCTAACTCAGTATAGTTTGGGAGTTTCATAAATCTACATGATCCGCCAACTCTCGTTTCCCAAGTGCTCGATTACAGGCGCGTGCGTATACCACCAACAACCCCCCCAGGCTATTTTTGCTCATGTTATTTCTGGTACCTGATGTATTCTGCTAAGTAACAGCGAGGCAGTTTAGCTCACACCGAAATTCATAACCACACCTTTGTACATATACGCAGCATCCACATAAAATATACAGTAATCACATAGACACATGGCATTCTCAAAGACACGTGGCACCCAGACATGTTTCTATGTTGAACTTCTTTTGCACCGTATGTAGCCAACCATCCTAATCGGAGGTGCGGGGGAAAGACGACAAATTAAACACAAAAAACCAGTTAGAAAAAATTTGTTTTTAATCTAAATTTTTAAGTGCATAGCTCCAGTGGCTTCCTAATATGACCAAAATCACACTGCAATGACCCTGATTGCTGTAAGCTGGGAATCCAAGCAGATTTGAACCTCGATGGGTGACCACCATGCAGATCAGGCAGTTGTTAAAAGTTGTGGCACTTCATGGTGGGGAAAAAGACAATGCAGAAAAATCCACTGTTGTAGCGTACTTATATGATTCCATGTCTATGCTCCCCGCCTTCACCAACCCGAACTGACCAACATTCCCACACCTCCGATTAGCACGGTTGGCTCTGTACGGTGAGAAACATGAGGTATTGGTCAAATAACCCCCAAAGTCTACACAGCCTGAGGAGTAGAGTACAGATGAAAGCGCTGGACATGTACATATAAATACATGTGGAGTCCACAGGCACACAAAGAATCCACACCATCCACCGGGCTCGATGGCATGGAGGCCTTACTACTAGACAATCAGCGTGGTTCCACTATACTGTATTAGGCATCAACTACCAATGATTGAGATGCAACTCTTGGAAAATGTAAAATGGGTCCAAAAAATGCAATAGCTACTCGTAATCTGTGGGCAAATCATACCCCCATACATACTTAACAGACGTTGATAAATACAATGCTGAAGTACAGAGTAATAAACATTTTAACATATAGTCAGCAAAGCACTAGTGACATTCCCATAATCACTCAGGAAGTGTCACTGCAGCAACACATCTAGAGAGCTCATAACCTTGACTTAAAGTTCACGATATGGTTCTCATTCTTGGTTCTTTCGGTAAAGTCACGTAGAAGGCAAATAATAAAAATATAAAACAATAAAATTATTACGACGTTTCGACTGCAACACAAGCAATCATCATCAGGTGTGAAATCCAAAGCAACAAAAAAACGCCACTTATTTCAAATGTTCTTGCTGTGGATTTCACACCTGATGATGATTGCTTGTGTTGCAGTCGAAACGTCGTGAGAATTTTATTGTTTTATATTTGCATTATTTTATTATTTCCCTTCTACGTGACTTTACCGAAAGAACCAAGAATATGAATCCCTGCAGTCACGAAAGCTTTAAATCAAGATATAGTTTCATTAACAAAGATTAAGGCCGAGACGAGGAAAAGGGGTTTAGCTACACGATCTGTTTGTGCTTTGGGTTACACGTCGTCTTAAGAGTAATTAAACTTCACCCCTTACATTAATCTGACGTCCAATGCTTGACTCAACATTCAGGACCAATCACGTGCCCATTGAGTGCAACTGCTTCTCGTCTGACACTCCCGCCAATCAAGCTCGCGTTACCCTCTCAGTCACTCTTTCAACTTGTTTACAAACATCATTCGTGCCCGAAAATAATCGTGGTGCCAGAGCAAATGGCAAGAAGGCTGCTAAGCATGGAGAGTTGAACCCCCGCTAAGTGAAACCGTTTCAATGATAACCACATAACTGTCCTAGGTAAACACAATCTAGTGGGTTTCCATTTCTGTCCCTACAATTACTCAGCCAACTTGTACAACTGAGGGAACAGAACCGGAGCTATGAATTCAGCTCCGCATGCGGTGCCTGGTGGGTTGTTACTTCACAGTTCAGGGATGCCTCAATCTCTCTTGGCAGATGGCAATGACCAAGGTCTGCACACCCTTCACACACAATTGCAGCCTAGACACACGGTCACAGAGTGCCCCCCTCGTCCATGCCCAGGCCCCCCAATGTGCACAAGGCGTAAGCTCCGAGAAAAACTAGTAAACAAATCCCTTTATCCGAAACACCGCCATGCCCAGGCACACCTGACCATGCCCCACACCCCCCTTGCCCAGCCCAATCATTACAATTCCAGACAATCCTCGTGCAATATCTCTACTGTATGTAGAACTTCTTTTGCACCGTACGTAGGAGGCACCGTCTCTTGCCCAGCCAGGTACCTCTATCTCTGGGCTCCCCCGTTTCTCACGACACCGACCAAGTTGATGATGATGATGGTGGTGATTAACCACTCAATGGTGACGGTGAAGATCTAACGTGATTGATAGTCTTCCAGGATAAATAAAGATTCTGATTATGAAGATGCCGATGGGGAGTTTGAATGACAGGATGGCGATTTTGGTGACAACGACGACGGTCATGTTGGTGATTTGTGACAATTAACGTGGTGGTAATGGTGGTGATGACACTAACAATGACACTTTGATCACGATGGCCACCCAGGATGTTGACGATCATGAAGGTGATGATGATGGTGATGTGGACGATGATCACGATGATGACGGTGGCAATGTTGACTCATGACGCGGCTGACGAGTGCAATGTTGGCAATTACCAACATTCCGGCAACGTTGATTTACGTCACGTGTACCATTATGATGGTCACGATATTGGCGACGCTATCGATCAATCGCAATGATGACAACAACCATCGCCGACCATATGCTCAAGAATAATTATTGGTGTTTGTTGTTGAGCCCCTACACCCGGGATCGACGTACCCCTGGCGTCCCCACCACCCCCAAGTGGCCTCGCCAACCCCGCGAGTCGCGAGCGGTGCAGGGTTGTTGCCGCACCTGCTTGACGCGGCTGAGCGAGTAGAAGTAGAGCGCGGCCACGGGGCCCATCGCCGCCGCCGCCTCCTCCTCATCGTTGTTGCCCAGGAGCGGCCGCTCCTCGCCGGGACCCGCGTCGGCGGCCATGGCGGTGACGTCGCCGCTGCAGGGCCGCGCCACCCGAGGTGGAAGACGCGGGGGGGAGGTTAATCCACAATGAGGGAGGGGGGTGTACGTTGTAGACCGCCTGTCGAGATCTCGATTTTACGAGTCGTTATTAATGACAATTGCAATATTTATTAGAAATAAGTATTATTTGTATTGTGTTTTTATGTTCAATATTTCTAAATTAACGTGGCATTAATTCGATGTACCCCGCACCATCACCACGCACCCCCCCCCCCACCCGCCCCGGCGGTTATTTGGACTCGCCCAGCCGCCGAGTCAAAGTGCGCGCGCGTCAGGCAGAGCGAGTCGAGTGCCGAGCGACCGCCCCACGACGATCGCGCGCGCTCGATTGAGAGTCCTGGCCGCCACACGTCACGCGGTGGGGGGGGGGGCCGATTGAAAGGGGGGGGCGCGAGCGAGTGATGACGTGGCGCTGCGGTTGGTTGCCACGGTAACCGGCGGCGCGGCTGCTGCACGCGCCCCGTCGTGGGGCAACCGCATTGGGTGCCAGCGCTGCCGCACCCCCCCCCCACCCGCCTTTCACTTCCTCCACTGCCCCAACATGTGTACTGCTCGCAATACACCAAGCGCGGCTGTATTGCAGTAAAGACGAAACTTGCAAGCGAAAAGCAGACCGCCACGTGATATATTCATTGCATTAATGCGTGTGCAATGGTATGCCTTTAATTCTAGATTTGAAGCTTTCGTGACTGCAAGGATTCATACTCTTAGGTTTTTTTCGGTAAAGTTACGTAGGTAGAAAATAAATGATAACAAATATAACCCGTAAAAACAAAGTTTTTCGCTATAAATTCTTTATATGCGTGGCGGCTAGAGTCCTCTCGTCCTCTGGCTTGAGATACGTAGGTAAAAAATAAATGATAAAAATAATAGAAATAATAATAGAAATAAAATAATAAAGGTTATAATCCCTTGTTCATCACGACGTCCTTTTTACTTTGATGTCTCAACAGCGTTACGGAGATCGCGTGACATGAGGGTTCTGCCTGTGTAGTTGTGAGTTGACGTTGAGGAGGGGGGAGGAGGCGCCTCGCCCCCCCGTGAGGAGTGACGTCACCCGCTCATGATTATTAATGAGAAGGGCTGGCCGACGCGGAGTGACGTCACGCACGGGACACACAGACATTCTTGGCTCATAGTAGTAAATGTTTTTTTTAAACCTCTGCGGGTGCGTTAATGTTGCGAGTTGTCTGTGATGTGTACACCACTGCCAACGCAGTGTCACGAATTTTTATTTTTTGATTGCCTGTAATATCCGGCAATAGTTCAGCAACATTGGTAATAATCTTTGCCAATAACATCTTGAGATAATAGGTTTTCTTCTTTCTGGTCTAACACCGTATTGAGACTCGGCTAAAAAGAAAGCTGTCTGGTCTGGACCACTCAATTTCAAAGACAATGCATATATTATCAGAGTACGTTTTTTGTTTGAATTCTGAACACAAGTATTGTGGTTAATGTAGACATGATTCCTTGTACAAGGTTTCAGTTTGGTGTTTAAACATCTTAACACCTGATAATTGGTTTTTTACCCTTTAATCTGGCAACAAAACTGACACTTTTTTTAAAGGTGTCAGTTTTTTTTAAAGGTGTCAGTTTTGTTGCCAGATAAAAGGGTAAAAAAACAAATTATCATATTTTTTACTGGCAAATGAGGTACCAATGATCTTAACACCTGTTTTGTTTCCAGAAAAAAGGGGAAACCCTATTCTTATATTTTGGTACTGGCAAAGGAGGTCCCATGATGTAGCAATAACATCTTAGTGTTAATATTACTACTACACTAGTTTACCCAGGAAAGTCTCAGTCTCGTGCGTTTTTTTTGGAGGGTCCTTACAATTGTTTGCAGAAGGGGGCCAATGATGAAGATCTGGCGGTCGAGCGAGCCTGACTGCTGATGCCACACCAAACGAACCTTGTGGTGGTACCCCGGGGAACTACCATAGTACCCCGGCTCTCGCACAATGTCCGTGATGCAGTCATTTTAGTCTGATGGTGATGGTCGGCGATGCAGCAATCGAATTATCTCGACGAGCTGTACACGATGCACGATTCAAAGTAGAATTTTTCGATAACGGATTTTTGATGCTGTTTGGCGTTTCACCATCGCGGAGTGGCACTGATTTCGGATTGATTGGTACCCCAGTCGCGGAGTTAAGTGTACACCCCTGGAAAAAAGTGTCCGAGAAATAAAATATTTAATTGCCTCGGCAATTTTTTTATTATTTGGTACCCCTGGGTACCACCATAAGGATCAAATATCGAAACCTAGTTTTTTTGTCACGAATTGAATCAATATTGATTAAATGGTCATGCGCTTCGGGAACACTGTTTGGCCGATGGGTTTTGATAAAAATAACTTTAATATTTTGTGTAGAGACGAATCTAGAGGAGACATTAATTTTAAATGCACTGCCATCTGCTGCCCACGAGGCCCCGTAATTAAAATCCTACAGCCACAAGCTGTCATCACAAGCCCGTAATCAACATCACGCCAGGTCATTAACATATTTTATTTAAAAATGTATGTTTCATATGCAACTATCTGATAAACGCTCGCACAGAATGGAATGTCTACACTATTTTCAAGTATTTAAAATAACAATTCGTTGGCTACATTTGTTGAACCTTCACAAGGTAACTTCAATGCAAACAGGTATGATACTGCGGATGAGAATTGGAAAAGGCAAAACTAGCCCAGTTTTCTGCTTAAACACATGCGAATTGTTAACAAAAAGACCCACAGGTTTAAAACAATATTTTAGTTCGATAAGTTAAAATTGTTTATTGCTCATAATCCTCCAGGAGGGGGGGGGGGAGCGGTGGCACAGTGGTTAGCACACTGCGCTATGAAACTGGCAACCCGAGTTTGCTTCCTGGCTAACGACGAATGTCAGTGGCAAGTGATATCTAAACCGGTCCTGGGATCCAACCCCCTCACCAACGTGCACTGACCATAACTGAACCAGTATGGCAAGGCACTGGATTGACAGAGAGCTGTGAATTAACAATATCCTCCACAGCTTAACGGACAAGGGTTTGGTGACTGATCGGCCTGTTAAAACAGTTCAGCAAAACATGCCTAGAAATTAAGCAACATATTCATCACATGTTAAGGAAACATAGTGCACATCAGTATTCATCCTCTACACCACAAGCAGCACACTTGGGAGGAAATTTGCTTCATAGCTACCAAACATTTTAAAGATAACCCAAGATTTTGGTTTTGCTAACCACAAGGAATTGGGATTTGTGCAAGACTGTACCAGATAATTGCTCGCCGCAGAGGAAAACCAGGCATAGCCATGACTTTGCATCATGGTCAATAATTACAAGCAGTATTGCACCCATAACTAATGCTTGTGTGCAAAATACAGACGAAACAGTTTGGACCTTTCACCTGCGATTGAATATCACAAATCGAGGTCACAATTCAGTTAAATAACCTTTAGAAATTGTGACCGTCACCTTTGCATAAGATTCCAAAGAACACAGGATGAGATGTTACTATCCTTTGTGCAAGCACTTCCAAGAGTTCATGAACAGTGAGCCTGGTGAAATTTGGGGAGCGCATCGTCAGTAGTGACCCTTTGGTTCCTAGGGTGTTTCGGCCTTTCATACTATACACCCTCCCCAAAGGCGGCCAGCGACAGGGTGATCAATCCTACGCTTGCGTCCCATTCCCAATTAGTCATAGGAGTTGCCTTGTTGTTGGTAGCCAACATCCCATGGGACTATGCATGGCAGGGGCGTCCTCCTCCCTGAGTCACCTTTGCATAATTCTCTTTCTGTCTCATTTGTAGTCTCACTCGCTCCATTATCCTAAATGTAACATTTGCATATGCTTTGCATACATTGTACTGTGATCAATTCTCACACAAACAATGTTATGCACGTATATTGCTGCGTAAGAGTCTATTTTAAATCGATGAATTGTTACGTGCAAAGGAAAAGGAGAAGTAATTTCTCCAAAGCTGCAAAACCACACTTCCACAAGTTCCTCCCTCAGCAGTTGAGCACGTGTTCCTCCCACGATACCGCTTTGCGAGTGCTCAAGTAAACTCTTGTTACGAGTGGCGGTCAGGACTTGTCTTCAAGATGCATGCGAAGGAAACGCAGGTATCCCACAGGAGCGATGTCGTCGTCCGATGTGATGACCATTTCGCTCTCGTCTCTACGGAGAAAACAAACCGCACTTCTTCACCGGATGAAGACATTGCACGGGCAATGTTAACTGCGCTCCTTGCACTCGCCATGGCTGTTTCCACTTCTCTTTAGAATGTCTTTATGATTGTTGTCATAAGACAAAGACATTTTGCAATACGGAACTTTCGTGGCAAGCATTGCACCCCAGAAGATGGGCCCACCAAAGAACTTCTTAAGTCACTTAAAAAAGCATCTTTATCCATTGAGAATGTTAAGCACCTCGAAATGACAGTGAAAGGCACAATGCAAACTGGACGTCATCATTAAGAATAATGTCAAGGGAGGAGCAGTGGCTCGTGGTCCATGAGTTACGCTACAAACCCAGCGACCTGGGTTAGAATCCCAGTCATGGTCAACATCATTGCCAAACGATATCTGAACCGGTCCTTGGCCCCTACCTTCAACCCGTACTGACTAGCATGGTGAAGTATAGTCAAACAATACCAAAAATCCAGCATGGAGTGGGGAGGCCTTCACACAGCAGTGGACTGACAAAGCACTGTAAATATACATGTTTTCTTTAAACGGAGTCACATACAAAGATCAACTGGAGGCACTGCTGGGGACGGAACTCACATGACGATTCGCTTGTGAAAGATGGGGCAGTCGAGGGTGAACGTCTCATACTCGCCGCCTTCCCCGCACACGTGGACCCCAAACTTTTGCGAGAGCTGTGGACAGGGCATCGCTGATGTGAATGGTCAGCGTGGAGCAAGATCAGTCACCACGTTCGCACAATGTACGGAACAATTCCCTTTGCCTTTAAGGTAGACGCAACCCAACAAACAGATCTTACTTCGCACTGGCGGAGCCAGTGGGGAGGGGGGGTTGGGGGTGGCACGTGCCCCCCAATGATCTGATCGAAATCCCTAATTTAGATCAGATCATTGGGGTTTACTAGTAATAAATCGGCATTTTGCGACCCCCACTGCCACTGTGTAACATATTATTATGTGCCAGGGACTCTATGAGATGATAAGACAATAGTCTGAGTCCATAATTGGCAATAAGTAACGGCAAAGCGGTTATAAGTGACTTCACAGAATTGTGCGCAGTTGCGTATACAGTACACGACTTCCCTGAAGGCATTCACCTTCAGCGAGCGTGATGCCGATCACACGCAGTTCGAATTCGACCCTCGATCGATGGCTGCGCCATCACCCCACACGCGTCGAATAAAAAGCAAGGGACAAGTCCTTACTAACAACTCCTCTATCATTTTTCATTGCTGGAGGGGTTGCCCCCCCTACCTGAAAATCTTGGCTCCGCCATTGTAACTTCGCATATACGTAATACAGCTATGGGTTTCAGAAGGCGAGTATGAAGCTCCATTAACGAGAAAAAAATACTTTAAAGTTACTTTATTGAGTGCACTCTCGTGAAGTTGCTAAAACGATGTTACTTTTAAAGGTGGTGTCGTAACTAAGGTCGGAATGTCAGACCTTATAAAATGTCTATCTCTCCCAAATGTATGCCAATCACCGTCATGACATGAGATGAATTGACCATTCAGAAATCTTGCACAGCAGCACAACAGGTGCCAGAGTACGGCCCACAAAAGGGGATATAGACGAGGAATTATGAAGTGATATTTCACCTACACACTAGGGGGCGCTACACAATCGCAAATCTTGAAGATTCTCAAATTAAGCAAACAAATGTAATTGTTTTGTCTGTGCAGTTATTCGTGACTAGGCTGACGGCATCAACTCACTATATGTGACTACTCGGTTTATACACGGGTGGCTAAATCCCAGACTCAAAACCAGGATCTCAGCGGTGCCAGCTCAAGTGATTCAAACCGAGCAACTCAACCACCTTCAGGACTTGTAAATTAACAAACCTTTAAAAAGTGTCTGCCTATCTGCAGGACTGTATTTGTTTTTTTCTTGGTTGCATCTTCCTTCACCTACATTCTGACCCTGTAATGGTGACTATGATTGTTGTGGACTTCTCACCTTTGCTCAGTGAGAGGTCACTCATTAACCACTTGTGCCTCCATAGTCTGAAGCTTTCTTCCCCCAACTACCTGAGCTGTCGACACTATGCGCCCCTATTTAAGTCCAGGCTCAAGGCCTTCCTTTAATCCTCTGCCTATGACTGCCTCGCTCAATAAACCCACAGTATCTGTCCCGTGTCTTGAGATACGGTCGCATATAGACGCCATGTTCAATCCAAATTGTTTTGTATAGACATGTATAAAGTCCCATACACTCACAATGATGTTTGGCTCAAATAAACCTACAGAGACCTATAACTGATCAGTTCTCTCTATGCGCTAGACAGATTGCTTTTAGACGCTTTGTAAATCCGCAGCGCTGCAAAGTGTTTTGCCCCAGGTTCTTACCGATACCAGAAGTGGCGACATCTCAAGCAAGCTCTTCCCGAGATGCTTGCGTGGGTCCAGACCTTCATCACAGATCAAAACACTCCCAGTCAGAACTGTGTTCACATCCAGAGTTCTGCCCGCACTGACCAGCATGGTGAAGTATGAACAATTACCTCCATGACCTACATGCTTGTGGATAAGCCCTCATGCACCAATGGATTGACAAAATAACTGCAGATGTACAAGGCTTTTTTTACACAAAAATGACAATGACATTATTCATATGAATGTTCAGCTGTTAAAATAAGACGTGGGGCTAGCAGTGTGTACAGTTTAAGGGCAGCGGCCTGACCCAGTGCGGCCACTTTGATGAGGATGGCCTCCACGCCAGCGGTCACCATCTCCTGCAGAAGCTCCTCCTGCTCCCTATGCCACAGCAGCGCCAGCGGCGTCAGGCCGAGCCGCTCGCAGCTGCTCCCACACACACACACAGGCCCACGAGATCGTCATCAACCATCGTCGAATCACTGCTGGATGACGGCTTCCCTAAGTTGCCACCATCGTCCACAGTCGCCGCAATGCAATCATCTGGCAAGCACCTCCACACGGGTCGATGTCATCGTTCCATCCCCTTGGTGGAAGTGATCTCGGACACGTTCCATTCCTTGGCTGCCACTCCGTCACTATTCTTGACCATCGGCCATCATCCCTTCTGGTGACATGTCCTGTCCAAACCTACTTCATTTTCTTAACAGTCAAAGTTATATCTGTAACCTGCATATGTACTCTAATCGATGTATTCCTCAGCGTAATCCCAAGCATACATAGCTCTATGCTTCTTTGCGCACTTGAGCTCTTATTCCATCCTGTTTGTAGGTGCTCATGTTTCTGATCCATGTGTCATAACAGGTAGGTGCTGGTGAATACTCTCTCTTCAGATGCATTGGTATGTTACTTTTCATTACCAAGCTCAGCTTTTTAAAAACACTCGACCGGGTTCTCAAACACAGCGAGTTGATTTACTCAGCACGGTCACCAATTACTGCACAGATAAACCCATCGAATTAAATTTGGTTCTACACTTAACTGGGATAAATTACAGCATCTTGAGAATGAAATATCCTGGTGAGACTTTCACGTAATGTACATTACACTCTGTAGGCGAGAGGATGGGAAGTGCTGCTCCTTACTGTATGGACCAGGGGTCACTTAAGATTGATCAGAAACAGCTTCAGGGAGCCATTCTCGAACATGAAGAAATGCATTGCTATGCAAGAGATACGAAAGTTTACTTCTGCTCATGACATGATGCCTATAGCACAATTGAAAATGGTCAGGAAGTTGTTTAAAAGATCCAAGTTTAACATTCTGGGAGTGTCGCCGGCTTCCGGTGGCCTCCATCAGGCTGACGTACACGTTCTCGACGCGCAGACGCTGGTAATCGGAGAGGATGGCTCCGACAGACACACCCTCCACCGCCTCCTTCTCCTGCCGCACACCACAAAATCGACACCGCAACCATCAATTACCAAGCATAAACGATCACTTGGCACAAATGACCGGGCTGGAGGATGGCCGCAAGAGCGTGCAGGAGCACAACCTGTCCACATGGGGGCGACCGTCCACTTTCAACGTGACATCATCGCAAGGTCTTTAAGAGTTTAATTTTTATCACATTGGTATTTTAAATTAAATATAAGGAAAGTCGTATATAAGGATTATAAGGTTTTCAGTTTTTGTATGATTGTTTATATTGTACATTTTTGTTGTTTCTTGAATAATTTTCTGTGTTTAGGAAAAATATATGATTGTGTTAGTGAATTTTTTTTTTCCTAAAAAGTGGAAAATTTTGGAAATTTTTTTTCACGAAAATAAATTGTCACGCACAACGAGTCTGTGTGCAAAAATGTCAGCTCGATTGGATCACGGGAAGTGGGTTACCGAAAGATTTGCACGGTCGTAAGCGCGCAAGCAAGCAAGCAAGTGAACTTAATATAAAGGATAAAAAAATGTGGCCGGGTGGACAAGATCTCTGTCAAAGATGTTCCTGCTACCCTATCCTTACTTGTCCAGTGGCATGTGTTGAGTAGCTTGCGACGACTCACTCAGAGACGGAGGTGATGTTAAGGGCTTTCGCCGTTTATTTAAGGGCTACACAAGACACGGGAGGAGTGAACCACTTCCCAGGGGTTAGGGATCCCGGGCTAGTTCCCACTGGGTCCCAACACAGCCGGCTGCCCCGTGCCGTCTCCTCTGCGCCGGCCGTGCGATCATCCAACACGGCCGACCGAGGAGCACAGCCACGTCCAGCCCTGGTGCTGTGCTATCTCCCCTGTCCCTACCCTCTTGACCCTGGCTCCCCGTTTCACCCTCTCTCGACCCTTGACTCCAGCTACGATCCCGCTTACGTCACGGGGTCCCCCTTTTAACCTCCAGGAGCTGTGACGTCATGTGCACTGTCCAGCGTGCGTGACCCCACATCCCGTGACGTCATCGCACTGGACAGCGCACACGACGCCACTCCTCTCCTCGACTCCTCTACACATGTATACAAGTTCACCGACAGAGCTTTTGAATCTCCAGCCACCATGCCTGCCCACAATCCACATTTTCATCTCTGATAGGACTATCTACTCAAATTTGAATTAAGACTATTCATGACAAATATTATATTTTTTGCCAATTGGTTCATATGAAGGCTGTGCCAAGATGAGTAGGCTGTGGTTTGCGGCCGAGTTGCTTCAGCTCCGAATAGTTACTCAACTTCTCCTTTAAATAACATTTTAATTTTAAATCAAATTAATAAAAAAATCAATTCAAGGGCTTAAATTTAATGATCGCAATCACCATATTCAAAATATGCTCTCCTACCTCTTCCCCTCACCACGCTCCAAGCACTCTCCTATCTCTCTCCACTCCTGCAACCAAATATTTTTGTTGAAGCTCCCAGCCACCCTTTGCCCAGTGGGAGGTCACTCATTCTCCTCTGCTGCACCCAGTCTCAAACTCCCTTTCAGTGATGTCGACTCCGTACCTCTGTTCAAGTCCTGACTCAAGACCTTCCTCTTCTCCTCTGCCTATGACTGCCCCTCGCTACAAAATAAAGACGGGCATTATTTCTGTACAGCGTCTTGAAATTGTCGCATTTAGACACGCTATGAATCCACATTGCACCGTATGGTATATGCGCGTACGTGCAAGATGCACGACCCCCTGACCTTGACCTCCTTGAGCAGGTGGTAGAGGTCCTCCACCTCATCGCCGGCGTGCTCCGTGTAGTCTCGGCCCTTCTCCAGCGTCTCGCCCTGGATGGAGCGTCGGTACAGCGGTAGCGCCATCGCCTCGGCGTACAGGCCCACGGCCTGGTGTCCCACTGTCTGGTACATGTAGCTGTCCAGCTCGTCTGGCGTAACGAAGGACACACCATCATATGGCAAGTTACACTCGCCCTCACCAATCAGGATATCACCCAAATTACTTTTTCCTTTAAATTGTATTGGCCTGCCTAATTGTATCAGCCGGAATAACGGCCTTCGTGAGACAGTGCGACACGTGACAATACTGCACAAGAGATGCCACCCAATTACTAACAATGTTAAGTTGCATTAAATAAAATGCACCGCAGCAACGATTTAACTAAATGCATAAAGTGAATACGTCGTGTCCGAATGCATCGTGTCTGGAGACGATTTACAAAAATAGCGAGAAAGAAAAGTTACATTCTGGTAGAAAATTACATGGTTGGCAAATGAGTCAGGGCAGCGAAATATAGAAGGAGATAAAGAGCCAGCTACACAGCAGCACAGGCCAAAGTGAATAATCCGAATCTTTATTTATGCTGGAGTATTCTGATGAGCAATGAAACTCTTTTTGATAAATGTCCAGTCGAGGCGGATCAATGAGTCACATCAACAAACAATACAAACCACAGGAGTGCAAAATAGTGAAAAGGTAAGCAAATAACTCTAAATAAATAAGTATTACGTATTAGAAAGTAGGGCCCAGCAACAATAAAATAACAACACCTTCTCAAGTCCCCACTCAATGTGGTCAATTGTCCCAATTCGTTGTCATCATTTAACAACCATAATATTTATTTATAGAGCACCTTTCTTACCACAACGTTCAAGGCCACTTCACACAAGTTCAAATGAATCACTTACAAAGACAAATGTTGTAAAAACACTCCTAAAGTAATCAAAATACACAATAAGAAAAAATGAACAAAACAGTCAAATCATATCAGTAAGTCATAAGCCAAATTATAAAAATGTGTCTTAAGCTTTCATTAATAAACTTATCAATTATTTGTTGTTTAATTTATGCGTCTCATTACTAGTTTTATTGGCCACATTAGCCGACATATATTAGCATATAATTTACTTACGATTAACATATACGTACCATAGATTGTAAATCAATAATTATTGCGCCTTCCTTGAATGCATGTATTGCGAGTGTAAGAATCAGTCGGTCAGTCTCCTCTATTCAAACAGGAGCCGCATGCGATCGACAAGAATGGATTTTAGTCGATGAAGCGGCGCATTGCTGTAACCAATAACATCGTAAGGTCGATAATGTCATCCCTTATCTTGGTTGCAGGTCACTATCTGAGCAGCAGGCAAGCACTTGACCGTGGTTCCACTTTACCTGGAAATCTTAACAGTTCCAAAATATAGTCACGCCCACCCCCCCCTCCCCTTCACCACAACAACCCAATCTCCCTGGACCAGGGGCCAGGTGTGTGAAACACTTCACGTGGAATTTCCCACTGACATTTCAATTTAAAATGACAAAAGAAACAAAAAAATACGAGTTGATTTATTTATTTTATTAATCTAAAATGTAACTATCCTGGAAAGGCTTAGCGAAACAAAATAACTCTTTCAGGAAGGTTCTGCATTGGAATGTTGGGTCAAACGTCGAACGCAGCAGTAGATGTGTTCCTGAAAAGTACTGCGTTAAGCAAAAAACGCGTAAAGCGAAAACAATTTCCTCATTAGCAAGCACCTATGATGGCCGGAACAGTACACGAGGGGGTGGGTGGCCAGCACCACGCCCGACCGCCTTTGTCTCCCCTGTGGCGATGTTTACACACCGCACCAGGTACTAATTTGAGTCTGAGTCCACCTAGGGGAGGCCCAGGACCGGTTCAGATAATCGTCACTGGCGTTGGCCGTGAGCGGGAATCGAACCCCGGGTCGCCGGGTTTGTAGCGCAGAGTAGCGCTAACCGCTACACTACCGCTCCCCATAACGACACACAACACACACACCAGCACATACACAACACACCAACACACAAACACCAGCACACACACAACACACCTGTGTGGAGCTACACACGGTGGGGGGGGGGGCGAGCTCACCTTTCCCGACGGGCTGCAGGTTTGCGAGCGCCACAACCTGGTGACCCTTGGCCACGCATTGCATCAAGTTGTAGCAGCTGTCCTTGCCGCCGCTACGAACACGCGCACACGGCAGACACAGACATCGTCATCTGCGAGTTCAAAGCGTTGCTCCGTCTCACTTGTTCCACTCACGACGGAGTCATTCGTGACGTCTATGATGCTAAGACGACTCCACTCTCTGAGATTTTGGCCTCGCTGTCGCCGTTGATCGACACCTGCACGGTTCACAAGAAATAGGCACAGTGGTGTCTGCAGCAAGGGGTATCACCAAGAAACCTGTGCAAAAATTCAGTCGGACCACGGTTCCTGAAATAATTTTGCATTGTGGTCCTCTAGTTTTGGGTGACCATCGCAATCGATTTCAGCCAATGCGACTGATTGAGAGGCAGCAGTAAAACGGATGGGAAATTGTGGATCGGTTTCATGGCTTCTCTCGCTGTTGTTGTTGTCGGTGTCTTAGAGTTGTCTCAATGCGTGTCAGTCAAGTCACGTGTTTAGTGTCACGATGGGTTGGTTGGTTTTCTCATTTACAGAGCTGATAAGTGGATTGCGCAGTTAAGTGCGACAAAATGCAGGGGCGACTCGCACCCAAACATATTATACGTTTCCCCTAATCTCTTCCTTTTTGCGTCCAAGTTACCAAACATCAAGTTTCTCCAGCTTTTCCCCATTGCACCATTTGTCCAATACACTTTCGTTTCCGTGTTTCTATTGCCTTGTAATTTTCACCGGTCAATCGTCGGTCGTTTGCTGTACGAGCAAATGAAGCGAGTTCCAAAAAAAAGAACAGCAGGCACACGAGCCGTTTGGCCGCACACATAGGTCAGTGTTATTTTGTTATCAGAGATGTATCACCACCGCATGTCCCGGAGGTTCCTATCAGGCTGAGTCCGCCACGGGGAAGCCCACGTCTGCTACTGATAGGGAGACACCAAATGCCATGACCACGCAAGCTTTGAACTTTAGGTTTGCCTATCACGCACTTCATCAGCACGGTGTTATTACTGGTCAACAGTAATAACACACACACACTCAACACACACACCAACACACACACTCAACACACACACTCAACACACAGAACACACACAGAACACACATTCAAAACACACACTCAACACACACTCTCAACACACACACTCAACATACACACACTCAAGACAAATATTCCTCCGTATAGCCTAAACAGACTCCATAACATCGTTTTTCTGGGGTTAAATCGCACCAAATATATTTATATAGGACGACTCGACCTTTTAAAATATATGTACACGTTCTAACCCAAAACTAAATATTATGAATATTGATCCCGAAAGCCTTCGTGTTAAACCTTAACATACTGTTGGGGAAAGTGCTGTTAGCGAGCGCCTATGAAGGCCAGAACGGCACACAACCACACACAACACCAGATACACAATGCCCACAACTAAAAACTCACACACACACAAAAATAATTACTCACACAAGCAATATTTGACACACACACTCAATAAAGCGCTCGCGTTATGCCCATAAAGTTCTCGCACACCAACACACACTACGGATAAACCCCGGATCAGTTCGGCACACTCACCCAACATTGCTCACTCACAGAAAACACAATCATCCCCCCCCCCCCAAAGGGCCTGTCCGCCTTTGTCTCCCTGCCCCCCCCCAACGGGCCTGACCGCCTTTGTCTCCCTGCCCTCCCCAACGGGCCTGACCGCCTTTGTCTCCCTGCCCTCCCCAACGGGCCTGACCGCCTTTGTCTCCCTGCCCTCCCCAACGGGCCTGACCGCCTTTGTCACCCTGCCCCCCCCAACGGGCCTGACCGCCTTTGTCTCCCTGCACCCCCCCCACGGGCTTGACCGCCTTTTCCTGTCCCCCCCCAACGGGCCTGTCCGCCTTTGTCTCCCTGCCCCCCCCCCCCCACGGGCCTGACCGCCTGTCTCCCTGCACCCCCCAAAGGGCCTGTCCGCCTTTGTCTCCCTGCCCCCCCCCCCCCACGGGCCTGACCGCCTTTGTTTCCCTGCCCCCCCCCCCAACGGGCCTGACCGCCTTTGTCTCCCTGCACCCCCCCCCCCCAACGGACCTGTCCGCCTGTCTCCCTGCCCCCCCCCCCCCAACGGGCCTGACCGCCTTTGTCTCCCCGCTCGCCTGATTAGTGCCACCACCCTCATCGCTTCCTCCACCCCCACCACGGCGCCGTCGATTCACAATTCCCACTTCGCATCCGCTCGCCAAACTCTCCCATTGGTCGACAGCGCCGAGAGGGCGTGGCAGGCGCGGGGCCAATGAGCGAGGGGTGGGGGAGGGGCCGCACGCGCGCGCGCTTGCCACGTGCGCGCGCTTGCCACGTGCTCTGGGCGAAATCGAATGTGGGGTGCTGCAAGGTGAGCCACCACCAACCACCAAACCACAACCAACCACCCACCGCGTGGTGAGCGAGTTTACCATCGGTTGTCGCCACGGGTACCGAACGGGGAAAGTCAAGAGAACGCATGGACAAACGCGCCTCCTCGCTATGTACACACAAAACAAAGAAACTTTTTTTTTGCATCTTTTTTAACACGTCTCCCATCAGCCGTTGCGGCCTTGTGGGGAGTGCGTAATTTCAGCTTTGAAATTACTGGAGACCGGTTTCGGACACATTCGGAGTCTCTCGCCGGCAGACGTGAATTGATGAGATGTGTGAACAGAAAAACATTTTATGTGGAGGGATAGATATGGGTATGAGACGTAGTCGGCTTGTTTTTATGCACAGTGCAACACTTTTGTCAATCTACTGCTGAATATTGGGCTAACAACACCCACGCTGTGCAGGTCGTGGTGAGTTTTGTGACCATACTTCACCACGTTGGTCAGTGCGGGTTGATAAAGGCGAGGGGGTGGGGGCAATAACCTGGAGGCATCGAAGGACCGATAACAATTGATTTGTCTGCACTGTGGAGGACTTCATTCAGTCGTGGGTTCTTTCTGCCTGGGTCTGTGGAAGACCAGGTGAGCGTGACCCCTACCTACCTTGTTATTCCAAACAGACTCGCTGATCTAACGCCCATGACCCAATGACATATGACCTGAACCTGCGTGGTTGCTACTGTGACCAATCTAACGGCCAACTTTGGGCAAACTCCAGTGGCATACGCTTTCATCCAATGACCTAAAACCTGGCCACTCATTTAACCTGGCCTCGAAGCTTCACATTGACCGCTTACATGTGTAATCTTAAGTAGTCAACCTAGGTCTATCAAGGTTGTGCACTATACTGTCATAAAGTTCAGCATACCACCTGATATCGTCACAAAGCAATTTATCTCGCACCCAAAAACTTTACATTTTTCAGCCTGTCCAGGTCAAACCCAGACAGGCGGCAATCCTAGACCCCCTTGTAACGTCACCCAAATGACCCCAATTGTCACAGACCCCCATCACCCGACTTTGATCCCAACGCTGCCAACTTTTATCTCCGACCAGATTGCTGTGACTCCCGACCCCATTGACACGAGACTTCAAACTCCAACATGGCCATTCCTAGGCCTCCAACCTTGATTTGATCCGAATGGAACCGAGACTCGATGATCCCCAAACTTTAAGGGCTTCCGACCTCATTCGTGATGCATCATCAGATGAAGACGTTGATATTTTGGAGCTCACATTTCCTGTGTTGAACTGCCAAAACTATGCCTCGATGCTTTCAATCGCTTACATTTTTCTTCTTTCCACTGCCGAGATACACAATGTGATGCCCTTGCAAAGTTTTTTGTCGCATGGCGAGCAAACCAAAATGTTTAATAATCAAATTGGTGGAATAAAACAATGTGAGTGAACAAACGAATTTAACTTTGTGTGTGCAGCCACTTACGAGCAGGCTGAGACCGTGAATTCAAGAGAACTTGAATGATTGGGGTGGCCGAAACCTGGACTAGAACGATCTTGGCGATGACGGCTCGGTGCCGACCACCTTGCTGTTGTTGCTTTAGTGGGGAGGGGGGGTCCCACCACGAAGACTTTCCCACCCATGTTGTCAAATCAAAAGCACGGAGCTAGCAGTCCCACACACTATGCCACCCTCCTCCAAGTACAGACCACCAATGGAAAACATCGCCACAAGGGTGGAGATTTTCCTCGGCATACCGCATTCCAATACCACACACATGGTCACGTTTGTGGTCAGTGCAAAGTTAGGCACACGAGACGAGCCAAAGCATTCGTGGGTTGCAGTGACCATGCAAGTCCATGTTTTGCAGAAAGGTGGAAAGCTTGCGAAACTACGAAATGCAATGTATTTACGTGGTGTATAACTGCAACCGTACATCAAGACAGTGAAAGTGGGACATTGGCATTCTGTGGAAATGAGGCATAAAGTGAAAGCTGCGGAACGAAGTGATGTGACACATCTAACACCGAATAATTATATCAGGCTGAAGGAGTTTTATAGTTTTAGAAAAAAGTTTAATTTATTAACTGAAGTGGTTTGGACAATATATTTTGTGAACCAAAAACTGAATAAAACCATTTTAGTTATCACAACCGGTTTTATGGATCGACACCCATTAAACATCTGTTCCAATGTCCTTAGCAACGACCCCAAATTAGCTTCACTCTTACAGAGTGGCTGAGCACCGCCGCAAATACGATGCAGGACAACTATACAAATTCTCAGGTCATACAAACAACAGTGTATTTCTCTATATCTCTCAACCACAATGTCTGGAGAAATCGGGTCAACACGTCTTGGGGGAATCACGGCCACGTTGTACTATGTGTATATGTGAGGGCACTGTCCATCATACACAGCATGAGAAGCACAAGTAAAACCAAATTAACTCTTTACAAGGCTTACAAATCTAAAAAGTTAAAACATCCGCAGGAATAAAACCCAAGTCACAAAACTCTATGTACACATGACTAGTTTGACATTCGGTGGCTTTGCATTGGTTCCAATGTCTGGGCCAGCTCCAAGAGTTAGATTAAACAAGTGCGATAACATGTATTTTCAAAAGTGAACACGTTCCAAAAATGTAAATAATAATTCGCTAGACAAGCGTTCGGGCTAGCACTGCTGCGTCATGCAATGCTACCTGGAGTGGCACGACGATCAATGCAACATCTCCTACTCGCTGCATTCCAACCTGCTGACCCATTCGTGCCAAATTAACATTTGTTAAGTTTAGGCAGGTAAGGGAGTAAAGGAAAAAATAAAGATCACAAGCCATTGTTTCCTTACCTACACCAGCACTTTAAATTGTGCAAAGCACAAATGGAATCAATGCAAACGACTGCCAAACTCAACCCCCCCCCCCCATCCACGCCAGTAATTACACGAACACCAAAAACGGAACAAAAAAAATCCTGCGTTTTCTTGCTTTCGCAAAATCTCATTGTATAGAAAGAAAAACAAATGGGAAAAATTACATGGGTGGTGGGTGAAGAAAATGAATTGTACACGTGTTGAATGGGGGTTAAAACGGAACGACTTTCGGCCGCCCCTAGGAGTCGTAGTCCTCGTCATCATCGTCGTCGCCGTCGGCCGCCGGTGGTGGGCGCGCCACCGGCGGGGTCGGCATGGCGACGCTCGGCATGGCGACGCTCGGCACAGGCAGCGGGAAGAAGCGGCAGCCCGGCACGCTCGCTCCAGCGAGGCTGTGGCACAGCAAAAAAATAAGAGCAGCTGCATCACTAACATCCACCGGGTATTATTCATAATCGCCACCAACACCTCCATCCACTGGGAATTATTCGTCATCACCACCACCTACATCCATTGGGTATTATTCTATCATCAGCATTGGCATTCACTACATCCATCTTATATTAATCATCATCAGTATCACCTATATTGAGTATAATAAGATGGTTGTTTTCCCCATCTTTCTGCATTTCATAGCATTTGAAAACTTTTTCCAGGTGAAGGATGCTTGCTGTGAGCCTAACCCCCAACCTGGAGGAGCAGATGCATGACAATAGGGCTGATTGGCAAGTTTGTTCACCTGTCAAAGTCACACTGACATCACTATTTGAGTAATAGCTGGTACAGGTAGGAACAACAGTTCCACACTGCCCACCAGGGATTATTTGTATGTCTGTCATGCATAGCCACGCCCTCGATTTGAATTTCATAAAGCGCTTCGGGCGGGCTCAGCACCACGTGACGAACCGCCCCACGCAGCTTGCACTGCGTGACACGGATCGCACGAATGCGATGTCCAACCAAGTTCCTACCTGCCCACTCCGAAGGAATGTGTTTAAGTCACACTTGGGGTTGACCGGGACTAATGATTACATTTGAGTGTGATGCCATTGGACAACAATAATGAATGTGACAAACCAACTATATCATGTATGACACCATTACATTGCCATATTGAAATACGTTTTTTTCATTCCACTTAGAACTTTAGAATTTAAAATATTAAATGGATTATGAATTCACCAAGTCGGCAACATTCAGAGTGCCTAACGTACCCTGGAGTTGACAAATGAGTACAAAAGGAGTCGGTTGCAATTGCTCGCTTCAGACACCCATCAATGAATGTCTGATCGACTATTTTTTACTAAAAGCTTGTTATATTGGTGACCCAGGTCAGGCTAAAATAGGTTAATTAATCATAGTCCCACTTTGGCTTGAGAAGCATAGGACAAGGATGAGTCCCTGCGTACACACCTCGTTGCCGTGTACACGGCTGGAATCGTTCTGAAAGTGTCACAAAAAGGTATCACCGACGTGCATTTGTGCAAATTACTTGAGTTCAATTATGCATGAATTAATTTTACAAGATTTACTTTCGTATTCAACATTTTTGCATATTTTCATGCAGGTCATGAAAAAGTGTAATGCATGATTTATATCTTGTAAAGCGCGTCACTGCTTTGTAAAAAAAACTGACCTCCAAATGTGCTGCTGCTGTGTTTTTCACGAAATTAAAATGCAACATAACACATTGTTGATTTTGATCATTATGATTCATGTGGGTCTCAATGAACAACCTTCACATCACACCACCACTAGATGTATGTTTTGAATGCAGGAACTTTTTTCATTAGAATCTTTCAGGAGGATCCTGCCAAGTTTCCACAGTGGGGGGGGGGGGGAGATGTTGCTGTGTAGAAAAATTTTCAGCAGTGAGATATTTGGCCTATACAAGTTACATTGTATTTGCTATTTTGTTGGGTCTTTTGGTAAAGTCACGTAGATAGGTTCAAAGAAAACAACTACGACGTTCCGATCACAACACAAGCGTTCGTCATCAGGAACACTTGTGTTGCGATTGAAACGTCGTAGTTTGCGATCGAAACATCGTAGTTTTTTGTTATTTTCTTTGAACCTATCTACGTGACTTTACTGAAAGACCCAAAGAATATGAATTCCTGCAGTCAGGAAAGCTTTAAGTCAAGATTTTATTGTATTTGTTTTTGCTATGAGGGGAAACTGGAAAAACCCGGGAGAAAACCCATGGAGAAGAGAGGGAGAACATGCAAAACAACTCGTACGGAAAGTTGCCAGTCAGGAATCGAACCCAGGACCTTCTTCCTGTGAGGCATCAGTGTTACCACTGCAACTTCCACGCTGCCACCCGAAGGTCTTAGAAACATAGGATATCACATTGTTGTCTCCAGGCTCGACAGACTAATTATCACCCGTATTAAAGATGAGCCCGCATGCACGATAATTCCCCACTAACTGTACACAACCAAAATTGGCAAGCAATTCTAACACACGGCCTACAGTCATTAACGCAATAGAGCGTGCGCCTCGAACTCATGCCGAATGCCCCACTTCAACAACCGCATTAACGTTTACATTGCGAAGTTTTCTCAACAGCTAATGGTGTGAAGACCTGTCGGGAAAGGGAGAGAGTGGGTGATTCATCCCGTTTAGGGGGCAAAATTCCACACACACGTCTTACTTTGCCATGTTTCCTGCTTTGTCGGCACTGGAATGCGACGCCTCCTCGTCCTCATCCTCCGACACGGTCTCCTCTGAACCCTCCTGTGGACACAGCACGTGCACAAAACCAATTACATGTCTGTTCGGCAATTTGTCACTCACTGCTGGATGATGAACACCTACTTGTTCCGAGTCGGTCGTTTGACCATACTTCACACTGGTCAGTGCGGGTTGCTGAAGGCGGGGGTTCAAATCACTCGCCGTGGCTAAGAGTTGAAGTCAAGCCACTGGATTCTTAGCGCAATGCACGAAACCACTCAAAACACTGCTCCACTCCCCACAAAGCCAATAGAAGCACTTGAAAAGTTACAATAGGTGGCCAGGTGGGCTTAGGGGTCACAGCTGAGATTCTTAGATCACATTTGGGTTTCAACTACTCATGATTAAACCGGGTGAGTAAAGTGAGTTCATGGTCTAGGGATACTTCCAGCTCTGAGAATTACAAAATATATAAATGTGATTGACATACAATGCAGTGTCTTTGCAGGGCATGTAACAGGCGAACCGAGTGTGAAAAGGAGGACTATTGAAGTGACTCGGAATAAGTTCTGTAACCTCATCTTCCCAGGTCCTTCTCTGAATTTTTTTTATATAATTGCCAAGCATAGGCCCAACATGTAAACGGCCCGCAACAACCAGCACCATAAACGTTGTAATAGATGTACCGCTTGCTGTGGACGTTCCGTATGGAAAGATCTTCATCTCATGAAGCCAACAACCATAGTTGTAATATAATTAGGGGTGGGACGGGGTTAAAATAATCTTATTTTAAAGAATAATAAATAGAAGTAGCCACAATGACCGCGAAGAGTGAACATCTCAGTTAACACAGCGAGGTACACCACTAGCTGCAAGAATAAATAAAAAATGTAATCTCATGCCATAACAAGTGACAATTAGAATCGTTGGGGAAAAGATGAAGCCTGTGTAAAATGTTCCCAGTGCGCATGCCAACAGCAGCAGCAGCAGTCTAACCTCCTGGTCTGAGTCTGACTCAGACTGCTTCTTGTCTTTGGATTTTGCTCCAACTCCACTCCTCTCTCCGTTTGAATTTTTTCGTCCTGGGCCACCTCTCCTGACGCTGCAGGGAGGAAGGGTTCCACGGGGAAGTGGTTTCAAAGGGAACACCAAAACCATTTTCGTTATCACCAAACACCAGCAGATGTTTGAATTCGTAAAATATAAATAGGGTTACGTTACCGATGATTGCAAGCTGCTTGGGGAAACCCACGCGGGCGACGCATTTACAGTTCAAGTGTTTTTCTCTAGAAAACCACAGTGGCACTCACTCCCTGCAGAACTCCCGGTCGCGAATTGCCAAAGGTCTTCCCCTGCACACAAAAGAGTAAAGGTCATATTGAAATGTGTTTTTTTTTTGTTCATCAAAACACTCGTTTTAATACACGCGTTGTGGTTAAGCCACACGCAGAAATTAAATAAGTGCCAGGACTTGCAGAACTAAAGGCGCGATCCACACGTGCACACGACGGGCATGCACAAAATGCGGTGGGGTTTTACGTTTTCTCTGTGAGGCGTGCTCACATTCTGTCATTAGCCCGCCTTTGTTTAAATGTTTTTCGGCTGCCTTAAGCTAATTTGCAAAACATGCTATTACATTGTCCCATTTTCTCCACTGCCTTTACTTGGCTAATCTAGTCACTTTTCCTTTGCGGACATTGCATTCAAATTCTTGTATAATTATAATTTTAAAGTTCCATTCCACTTCTTTACTTAGCCTTCTTCAAATTGGTTTCAATTATCGTTAAATTTAATATAGATGTTACATTTAAAATGAACAAAATATTATTTGCATATAAAATTAATTCACCCTTGCCAGAGGCAACCTTTTGTGCGTCTCAAAGGGCGTATTTCGTCTCCCGATAAAATCAAGGAAACTACATCAACACAAAATTGTAACCGTGATTGTGCAACCGATGTGAAACACCGGGCGCGGGCACCTTTTGACGACCTTCTCTCCGTCGGCATTGGTCTCCTCCGTCTCCCCCTGAACGTCGGGCACGGACGAGACGAGGTCCTTCAGGAAATCAAACTGCTGCTCGGCCTCGATGCACTGCTTCCTGCTCCGTATCACATCACAGCAAGGTCACTGGCTGCTGCTGCTGCTGGGACCACCTCACACGGAGGCAGTCACAGCTGCAAGTGTCACGATGTAAAAATGATCTTGAGATGACTGTGGAAAATTAATTTTGTGCTTTTGTTTTTTACAGCAACTTTTTAGGTTTTACAATATTACAACACTTTAAATATCATGTAAATCTGCACAAATTACTGAAACGCAAGTAGAAAAATTCTGCAGTTTCTAACGTCTCCAAAATGCGGGCCGCTTTCGAGTCCCCATGTGCTGCTCACAAGTGGGATGTGGTCATGGTCTTCGCATTTCGAGACTGCGTTACTTGGCAGGCTTTGGTTAAGAGAGACTCTAAAAACAGCTCCAGGGCCCGAGCTGGGAGCACTTGTCAAGGAAAATCCAGGAACGTGCCGAAGATGCACACACAGACACGCGCCCGAGATGGCTGCATCACATTCGTGAACCTGACATAAAAAGGCCAACACAACCGATCTTCCCGGCAGAATAAGACTTAAGGATACAGATTATGACAGGGACAGCAGCCGCCACTTTCCCGACTTCTTCATCTGTTTGCATGATCTTCTTTATTCTCGCCTAAAATGCACAAACACTTTATAGAGTTTCCACTTTTCAACCAAAACATGAGCATCGATGGCCGTTTGCCTAAACATGTATTCATTTTATAATGTGCTGTTAAATATAACTGGTAATGTAATGCAATTGGACAATGGAAATGTTTGAAGGAATTAAAATGATCGTCAGGAAACGAAATAGAGAACAAAAAACAGTTATGGCAGTGTGACTATACAGACACATTAGAATAGAGTACACATTCCTAACGAAACATGTTACAGTTTCATATGAAATTCGTTTTATGAACAGGTAATCGCTTGTTCATATGCTAAACTTACACCCTCGTGAATTCGCAATGCAAAGTGCAATACAGCTCTGACATTTATCAGTGACCACATCTTGTGTGACACGTGTTGGTGGTGCGCACTGGTAGCAGTAACCACCCCCGAACATTTCCTGGTAATTACCAACAATGACGTATTTAGCCACAGTTAAAAATCGTGCAAAACATGATCCCACTCGGCAGCTTCATCACGCCATGCCCCAGGCAAATTGAAAACACCCTGCTGACTTCTATGGGAGATCCCCACCTCGCTGCTGTAATGTCAAAAGCTCTCATGCGATTCAGATACCTGCGCAACAAAAGCAACTGTTTAAATTTCACCTAGTAACTGGGTATAGGCATTAAGATTAAACACATATTATTTTGCGGAGGCATACACCACACAGGCCTGCAATGTCCACACAAGACAAGCACTGCCTGCTATAGGAGTTGACAATTCATCACCGTTTTCATTAAAACATCTCCAAGATACATATATACTGTATAGTAGGCTAACATTTCGGGTGGTGGGGAGGGGTGCAGAGGCAAAGTGGTGAGCACACGGTGTTATAAACCCTGTAACCCGAATTTGATTCCTGTCCACGGCCAACATGAGTGGACAGTGATATCCGACACGATCAGGGGCCCTCCCTTCACCAACAGCCACTGACTGACCAGTGTGGTGCAGCATGGTCAAATAACTCATTACCAATGTTGCTTTTGGAGGCCTTTATCCAGAAATGGATTGCCAAAAGGGCTGTGAATGTTTATTCTTTTATTCCAACCCCTATTTACTCAGATAAGCAGCACGTAAGTGAACAATAACAGGCAATTATAAACTGTGACAAATATGGCCAAGTTGCACTTGTTAGTGTGACGCATATCATACATTGCAGTCAGATGGATTGTAAAACTGCAGGACTCTGAGACCGCGGTGGCGTGCGGAGGCCTTCATACAACAGTGGAGAAACAATGGCTGAAAATGAGAAGTTGTTTATACCTAGTCAATAAACAGTAGTTGACGGTATTTTCCCGACGATGCCTTCACTTATCAGTGGACAGACACCGGAAGTAGTTGGCGATTCGAATTAATGACAGCATCGCAACCTGCTTATAGCAGAGAACGTAGATTTCGAGATGGAGAGCCTTTCATACATCGGTGAACAATCATGCGATCATGTTTTTTTATCTATTAGACCATCGACAAGGATGATGTAGATGTTCATTATGAGTTGCTGCACAATGGCAGATGTTGATGATGCTAAGGGTGTTTCAAGATTATCACAACACCGTGCACTATAAAGGAAAAGTAAAACCCATAAAGTCCTACAACACTCAATGACATCTCAGTCATGGAAACCCATCACAGGGAGGGCATGGCCCGCAATTCCAAACTGTACGATGGGAAACATTCCATCAAATAGCAGACAGACAATGAATAACGATGATGGTGGTGTTGCCTTCATAAACCAGTGGACTGCAACGCGCTAACCATGTCGTCTTACCTAAAAATCTAGACATTGGCTGACGATGATAGTGCATGCCTTCATACAGCAGTGCGGAGGACACGCGCTCAATGATTCCTAAGGATTCTGAGTGAAACAGCTTCATGTCTTAACCGGCCTGCAGGTACGGCCTCATCCAGCAGTTGATAACGGTGCATGAAATAAGGATGATTGCAGTTCCAAAGCAGTGGATAGACAACCGTGAATAATGCTCATTAAGTCGCCAACCAGCAGTGGCTAAGCCTAAACGGTTGCTCCGGATGACTTACAGCCTTTTGTGGTCAACCCCATCGACATTTGAAAGCCTCCCCACGGTGTGTCGGTCACGCACGGGGGTTGTCTGACCATACTTCACCACGCTGGTCAATGGGAGATGGTGAGGTAGGAATGCCAGGGTCGGTTCGGATTATGAGCCCCAACTGATGTTAGCCGTGGCAGGGAATTGAACTCGGGCTGCTCGGGTCACTGCTCAGTATTTCTCCCTGGCATGAAAACAAAGCAGCCTTCGTCAAACATTGGATAAACTCAGTGTAAGTAGCCGTGCACAGACGAGGGCTGATGATGATGATGACACTCTCAGTGGACAATGGCTGACAATTCATTTATTCAGCAATGTAAACACATTAGTCGACAGGGAAGCCTTAATCTGGCAGTGGATATGCACACATTATACATCACTAAATGGCTCAATGGCTAAATACGATACAAAGAGAGGTCTCAGCTTTCAGAAAATAACCGATTGTGATGACAGCGACAAGGAAGCTTTCACTAGCCGTGCCCAGACAATGACTCAAAGGCACTGGCAAACAGAACAGCACGTAATAAATAGCAGGCGCGAACAATGGCTTATGTATGCCGACAATAGACATTCAGACACGAGGCCACACGCAGAGGGCCTCCACGGACGATGGGGAAAAGAGAGAGAGGCCGGAGAGTGAGAGGAGGCCGGAGAGTGAGGGGGGACCGGGCACCTCCCCCGCCCGGGGATCGAGCGCCCTCCCCCCGCGGGCGAAACTATCCGAGGCCTGGTGCCTGGGCCTAAGCCCGCGGGGTGGCGGCGGCGCGGGGCAGAGGGAGGCGACCCGGGCCGCCTTCTACCCCCACCACCCCCCACCACCTCGACCCACGAGCGGCCCCGGCAATCCACGGCTGCCCGGCCGAGCTGGGTAGAGCCACGGTGGGCCGCCGGGGGTCTAGGCGGAGTGGAAGGCACCCACCGGCGGGAACCTGGCGTTGTACTTTTTCTTCTTGGACGGCATCGCGAAGGAGGAGGAGGCGGCTGCTGCTGCTGCGGTGGTTGTAGTGGAGGCGGCGGCCACGTTGAACCGGGGGGGGTGGCGGCAGTGGGGGGGGGGGCGGGTGCACGAGACTCGGAAGTTATAGACAGCCAATAGGGCGCGACGTTACAAGCGCGGCGGTGCACACCGCCCCGCCCACCTCACCCCGCGTGCGCCGTTTCGGCGAACGTGATTGGCCGATACGCGCCCCCCCCCCCCACTTCACCCCGCGTGCGCCGTCTCAGCGGACGTGATTGGCCGATACGTGCCCCCCCCCCACTTCACCCCGCGTGCGCCGTCTCGGCGAACGTGATTGGCCGATACGCGCCCCCCCCACTTCACCCCGCGTGCGCCGTTTCAGCGAACGTGATTGGCCGATACGTGCCCCCCCCCCCCCACTTCACCCCGCGTGCGCCGTCTCGGCGGATGTGATTGGTGGAGACGCCCCCCCCCGCCCCCACCCACGCTGGTGAATCTGTCATGGCGGCTGCGCGACATCTCCCCGTTGTCTTGCTGCTGGCTCCATGCAGCGACCCCCCCATTCATTGAGACGGAGGGGGGGGGGGTCCTTAATGATATTTAATTAATTAGTCGTGACGAGTGAAGGACGAGGATGATGATGAAAGGAGTGCTTCACCTGGTCCCGAATTTAGAAGTGGTAGAAGACTCAGCCAGGGCACGGGCAACACACGGGAAAAGAAGGTCGAGCAACTGCCCAGCAGTGAACACAACAACAACAACAACGTTCCCAGCAGTGAACACAGACACAACAACAACCACAACGTTCCCAGCAGTGAACACAGCCACAACAACGCCTCGTGTCCCCAATACGCAGCGTGTGGCCGTACAGCGAAACATCACAGGTGACGCTCCGGGAAAGTGACCCCCGTATTTATGGCACGTAGAGAGATAATACTGGGAGGAAGCTCCTGGTTACACCAGCCCACAGGGGATTGTTGTGTCCGTCCGTCCGTCGTGAATGCAAAAATGGGAGGGGTGGGGCTGGGTGGAGTGGGGAGGGTGGGGCTGGGTGGAGAGGGGATGGAAATGGAGGGGTGGGGCTGGGTGGAGTGGGGAGGGTGGGGCTGGGTGGAGAGGGGATGGTGGGGCTGGGTGGGGAGGGGCTGGTCACCCCGTGGTGCCCTTATAAAACTCAACGTTTAACCTACTCACGCCGGCTTGTGCCCGCCCTCACAGTCGGGCATATTTGCGGAATACACCACGCCGCCGTTGACCTTGGTCATTGACCGAGCAACCCAACGTTCCTACCAGCTCCCTCCGCAGGAATGTGTTAAGAGTTGGAGACCGCACCTGTTTGTACAATGGGGACCTGATAGGAATTTAAAAAAATCTGTTTTCTCATGATCCCAGTTTTGTAAATAGGCATAAGTTATTTTTAAAAATATAGCTGTTGAGCTACGGCCAATATCTTAATATTTTTTGCTAAAAGTATTGCTAAATCTAACAGTGGATAGAGAATGCTTATTGGGACCTTAAAATTGAATGATTCCCGGCACATCTAAAAATATCCTGCGTTAATGTTTCACTTCATCAATACCAGAAGTCGTGTTTTTTTGTATGAGTGCAGTTGTTGTTCATTGGATGCGCTGGTCTCGCCGTCAGACTGCGGAGTTTCCACCACTGGCCAAGGCGTTTGTGTATCTTTCGTGCACGTGTGTGCGGGCAGGGGACTTTTACCCCTTGAGAGACGAATGGAGATTGCGTGGTCTTATTTCGCAACAATTTGTTCCACAACGATGTCCAATCTTAAAAAAACACACACACAAAGCACAACAAATTCACAACCAAAACAGTTAAGTTGTAAATCTGGAGTGGGGAAATGTGCACTTTATCACAAATCGATAAACGAAAAGCATCCGTCTTGGGATCGTAACACGAGGGTTAACGTTCCAAATGCGGGGCTTTATAGCTTATCAGATTCACATTATATTCTGATTCTGCTTTGTGGATTTGTGAAAAATACAAGTTTGGAGGCGGCAAGGCCGTAGCCATGGAGTCAACATTGGGGGGGGGACCAAATCTTCCAGGGGGTCTGGGGGTACCCCCCCCCCCACCCCAGGAAAAAAAAGTAATTTTAAAACGAATTTCCTGCCTAAAATATAAAAAAAATTCACTAATACATGGGATGACTTTCTATTTATTTATTACAATAATGTCTAATAGTGAATTGTATTACATTGCTCTGTTTTTATTCTTTACCTTTTCTTGTTTCAGTGCATGTAATGGCAGAGATTAGGGATTAATAAAGTACAACCATAACCACAATAATATGAACAGAAATCTATGCATTGTTATGTGAAGACAAGTCCAGATATTGTGGCCAAGGTTTAGCAAATTGTTTTTATTTACATAGCATAGCAATTATTTTTAAAAAATATTTTTGATATCAATATATTGGGGGGGGGGGGACATTTTTAACATATTTTAATATATTACGGCCTTGGGAGGCGGAAACCCAGACAGAGGTAAATCATGATCATCCCCCTTCACCTCCACAAGCAACAAGGGTGTCTGTCGTTTATCCCGATGTGAACTTTAACAAGGTGCAGCAAGTAACACCTTGCACACGAGTTCACGAGAAAGACTCTCGCGGACTCTTGCAGAGAGCGTTCTGTATTTTTTTTACACGAAGACACAACAAGTGTTACCAAAAACACGAAAATGTCAAACGGCCAAAAATAGCCAGCTTGTCTACGTCATTCACAAAAGAAGCCCCAAAAATACAACTCCAAACTTTTCATTTCAACATTTCGGTATCGTGTGCGTGTGTCCCCCCCCCCCAAATACATTCAGTGTCCGCAATGAGGGTGCCAGAATTAGCGGCAATATGAGGAAGGATTGGAGACGACTGGGACCTCCCCCAGGGCAGGGCATCGAAGTCTCGGCTCAGTCAAATCGCTCCACCGACGTCACGGCGTGATGCGATGGGGAAAACCCACGGCCGGTGCTGACATCACTCGGTTTGGGCAGGGGAGAGTGGGGGGGGGGAATAAGAAAAAAAACAACACGGGCGATATACGGTAATTATTTTAAAAACAACCTCCGAATAAACAAGTTATACAGTAGCAAATGAGTTTCAGCTATATGTGTGTGTTGTAATGTGGGGGGACCCAGAGGCTGGGAGACCGGCCATCATTCCTTCTCACCCACACAGTCACTGATGACACGAAGGGATAAACTTTTCCCTGGCCTAGAATTTGCCCAGTGTGTGGAATAGTCACCAAGCTCCTGTTCCCGCTAAGATTTGTTTATGACAGAGACAGGAATAGAGTTGCCCCGCCTCCCCTATCTGGGGTTGGCCCAGACAAGGGGGCAACACAGATGCCAATTCCTGGACTGGCCAAGACAGTCTGGGGAATTGGTATCTGTGTTCGTGTGGCAGCATAAATTGATTCGTACCGAGATCTGGCATAGTACCAATAGTATGTTGAACTTTGTTACAGTATACTGCAATTTATAGTACGCTGTAACATATATAAAAAAAATAGATTTGCTTTGTGGAAAAGGTGGCAACCTCTGACAGGATCAACATTGTTTTCTTCATTAAATGAACTGAGTTGAGATATGAACCACAAATTGACATTTCCATGCACCCCAAGATTTAGTATTGATCACAGGAATCAATCAATATTCACAGATCACAAGCTATCTGTGAATATGTGGGGCTCCCTTGTGAACTTGGAACATCGATAGAGTTGTACAGTACTTGCACGGTCCTTGCCTCGCCCTCGCTTCAGGCCGGCCTTTACACAATTGCAGGGACTTTCCCCTTTCACCGCTCCCCATTAAATCGTCTGTTCGAGGTTGAATGAGGGTGGTGGTGGTGGTGACGACATTGGTGGTGAGGGAATAGCCTTTAGAGCAAGCAGGCACCACACACCACACACCTACATAGCTTGACGTGCTCCTGATAGCTCGGGTCGCGTTCTAGCAGTGACTAAGTCTCTTTTCCGAGTTTTCAATGAGTGGGGTTGTTTGCCAGTTTTTTTTGTTATCGAAGCCCACGTGAAATCATTGATAAAATGGATGGCCCCATATCTTTAATGCTGCCTCCACCACCGGGTTATCAAAGGGAGGCTCACCACCGGTTCGGATATCACTTGCCACTTGTGTTAGCCTTGGCTCAGAATCGAACTTACTCACGCTGGTTTTTAAGTGTAGCGCCCTAATAACTGCACCGGCGCGGTTATCATCTCAAAATATCGATGTTCAGAGACCTTTTTTTTTAAGCAAGGTTTTCTGCAGGTAATTTATTCATTTGAAAACATTTTCAATTAATTTACTGGAGACAATTTTGTATTATTATTATGGTATACAATCAATGATATGCACTTTCATAAGCTAGTTTTGAGCAAGGGAAGACCCTCTTGCAGATATTCCTCAAACGCTATTTTTAAGCTAAAATCGGAAGTTTGGGGGAAGATTGAAGAGGAACGAGGGGCATTCCTGACATAACCACACACGTGCATCCGGCCCAATTTACAATAACAAAACACTGTCTCGAAAATAATGGAGCAGAGCTCAACTAACTAATGTATGTTCACAACTTTGTATGGGACAGCATGCCAAGTTTGGGTGCGACATAAAGACGAGAAGGGGGTATAACGTTACCGTTCAGTGAAATCTTACACCGACTTTCTCGATCAATGGACAGAGAAGTTGCTTTAATTGGTGAAGTATGGTGACCCCAAACCCCCTAAGACCCACATACCGTGGGAAAGCCCTCATCCAGCAGTAGACTGGCAAAATGCTTGCATGTGCACAACTCCAGTAGAAGCGCTTGATGTGTCAACAAGCGGAAAGCATGGCAAGGTCATGAAAGAATCATCGATTATTTATCTTTAAACCCATGCATATTTTGTACAAAGCTCTCCGGTCTTGGGGTTGGCTGTAACATTTGAAAAGTGAATCGCAGCTTGTGAAGTGGCACAGTTTACGAAGGCATTCCATTGATCCGCGGGCTTGTGTTTGCAGTTTTACAATTTTCAGTTTACCAGTGACGTATGGGTGGTGGAAAAACCCCACTGGCTTCCTGTTGATAGGTTGTTTTGTGAGTACGTACTGTACAGTATTGCGGTGCACCTTCCACCAAAAGCAGTCGCCTGGCCACCCAGGTTGGCCACACACTGCCAATCCCCTTCCTGTGGGTCGAGATCACTAAACGTGTAATCATGTTGCGCTGTTTGCACTTTACGCACGACCGTGGTGCCATGGGAATGCACGTGTGTTTGTCGAACTTCTTTCGCACCGTACGTATCCAACCGTGCTAATCGGTGGTGCGGGGGGTGGGACAACAAACTAAACACAAAAAGCGGTTCTAAATAAATTATTTTTCAAATCAGGTGAGCAAGGCCATAACTCAGATAGTTATGGTTCAATCTGCTCTAACGCTGTTCCTGTCACTTTGGCATGAGGGCAGTGTAAGGTTTAATATTGCCATGAGGGCAGTGTAATGTTTAATATCGTGGCGCTTGGTGTTGAAGTGGCCAATGAGAAGAGCGTCATGATCTGTGTAAATGCTACGTTAGATCTTTGACCACATGTTGACCATAGTAAATACTGTTCACGAATTGGTAATTTTGTATAAAAATAACAGTTATACTCTTTGGTTCTTTCGGTAAAGTCACGTAGGTAGAAAAAGAAAAGAAAACAAAAAATAATATATCACGACGTAAAAAATATAATCCAGCAGTGGAACTGCTGAACCAGCTGAGGATGACCGCTTGTGTTATGATCGAAACGTCGTGATATATTATTTTTGTTTGATTTTCTTTTTCTACCTACCTGACTTTACCGAAAGAACCAAAGAATATGGATTCCTGCAGTCACGAAAGCTTCAAATCAAGAATAACAGAATTAGCGAATTAAAGGTGTAAAACTGTAGATTATGACTGCACCTATATGATGAAGCGATGAAAATGTAAAACATTGGGCTTGAATAAAATGTTGTTTTTCTATATGTTGGGTTCAATTGTCATCAATTTCAAAACCAAGCAATGCACGGCATGTAATAGCTTCAAATTACAATCGTTTAGGCCTAAAGTAAAACGATTATGCACGTGCACAACTACAAACTTATACAAGCCCTGGCACAGGCAATTTTACAATTGCGAGCATTATTTTACACCTGTGGACAGTGCTGCAAAGTGCTCGTTGACAACACCTGTGACTATAAGCGCCAATTGGTTCCGCTTTATCTGCCCGTGTTTACCATGCAGAGCCCCACACGTTACACGTGTGCAGCTCTGCATGCCCTCCTCGGAGACGCCGATGTTATTTTACCACTTTGCAGACATCAGCCTCGTGCGTATTTAGCCAATTCATTAACCCCATCGTCAAATCCAAAAAACCTAAGACGTCCATCTAACTGCCTTTTAACTATCGCAATAAGAATTGGAATAGGTAACACGACCTTTGCATGACCAACGTTTTGGAACAAGCTTGTTTCCCCCCTTAACATCATACATTTTCCTTTAAAAAACACATTCTGAAGCAGATTAGTGCTGGATACAGACACATTTGCAAATGTGATTTTTAAATTCGATTCTCAACAATATATCGATAGTTCATTTTTTATCTACAATGTTATTGAGGGACTGTTGTCAGTGTGGTCTGGGACTGTTTTTGCTGTTGTTTTACTGTGCCTTTCCCAAACGTAGGAATTTACATACTGCCATTTGAACTCATATACTTTATTTAAGGGGTGGTCGGAAGTTATCTTTGATCCCAAATGACGCCTGCTGTATATTTGGAGTTTGCATGTCTCCCTCTCCGTGGTCCCGTGAATTTTTTCTCCAGGTCCTCTGGTTTTTCCCACCACGTTTATAAACATGCGTTTAGATAATTTATATATTTGCTGATATAAATTTCCATGATAAGTCACTTTATTGAGCTATCATTTGTGGCCAGGTCGCTTCTGAAAAATAAGTTAATACCTCGGTGGGTTATATACATGGTAAGATAAACATAGTTTAGTTTTACTTGTATATTTTTTTTATGATGTTTACTTGACCTATACTTTGCATTCCCGTCGTGTTTTTGTATTATTTGTTGTTGCAACGTTCTGACCAGCCCTTACTGGACATCTGTGAACAAAGAGCTTTCTGGCTCATCGGATTCCTCCAGTATATAGATTCTTATTCTCTGCGTAATGCTGCATACATCATCCACACATTCCATATTTTAAACAATGTCTCGAGATGTATCGAGTTCAGTCCTTTAAAACACTTTTTTTTTATATCCGACTATAAATGCATAGCGCAGTTGCTCATGAACAATGGAGGGGGGGCGGGTTCAGATGCACCGGGGTCTAATGCCCCAAAAATGCGACGCATTCGTGAACCACAAATAAGTTGGGGAAAGTTAAATAGAACAGAACTCTGAAACGTCCCTCAGGAATTACCCGCTGAAATGACAATCTCATTAATGTCTCCCAACCTCAAAATGTTTTAATATTTAGTTTTATTCACATCTTCACATGAATTCAGCAACACTTTTAGCACGCATAAAAAACATTCAAAAATTAGTCAATAAGATCTCATGGGTGGGGGTAAGATGTAATGTTATAGCACAAGGACATTTCCAGAGATTTATAAAACGTTTATTTTTGAACGGAAAAAATATTGTACATAGAGCAATATATTAAAAGCGTGTCATGTTTTCATTTGAAAAACATTTATTTTTTGATAGCAGTGGACAGTGGACATCTGTTATCTTAGTGATATAATAATGTGTCCTACGCAGCTGTCCATGGAGTCCAAACTTGCCCTTTATAAATCGTCAGTTTGAAAAGCTGTTATGACACAGTCATTACTTTCACAGTGGGCTCAACAACTCCCCTGCCATGTATATAAAAGGGTTACACACATCGTCTTACAAAACAAAAAAAACATGCACCTTAAAAATACATCTTATATTTTACACATTTTATATTGAAAACATTTTCATTTCAAAAGGTTGGATTTAGTCAAAGTGGCAACATAATTCTGTTACAAATTCATTTAATGACACCTTAAATACTACAAACTAACAAAACAAAGTCGAACAATAGTTTTACTAAATGTTTACATATAACTCTGTTGCTCTATATTAAATATAATTTTTATATACAGAGCTGTTGTGGAGTTTGTACATGTGGTAGTAAAATTGGCATTTCCTGGGAATGTGTGTGAACATGTTTAGTCCATTCGCTGAGCATTGCTGTACTTAACCAGTCAAGAAACACAAGACAATTACAAGTTGTACTTCACCCAGTAGATCTTTGTCATTACCACGAAAGATCACAATGTATATTGTTTTTAAATTTATATGAAAAAATATAGATATAATTACGACGGCAAGAGTATCAGGTTCATGCGTGCCGTGTTATGAGATGTGATGGCGTGTCTACAGGGAGAAGGCCCCAACACCTCAGTGTTGTACAAAACATGATAATGACATATCACGCAGCAGTGCATGCCCAGTAAAGGATGTCTAGCAGACACTCCTCACAGCTGGAATCTGGAGGTGTTATGTTTTGTCTAAAGTTGCATTTCCACCAATATTTGACACAAATGTCACATACATTTTACAGAGATTATCCCTTTTCATCCGTTTACTTTCGTTTCCTTTGTTGCCTACACCCGATGACGTTCTCCGCACGACACCACGGCCCATTCCAAACGGAAATTGTTTAAACCGCATCCAACTCCCACACAGTGATTAGCCTCACCTCACTGACATCCTCCCTAGAATTGATTTTGGCCTGGCCCTCCATTCACAAAGAGTGGCCCAAGTGGTGCCTGCAAGCCACAATGCGAGTCATCAGGTATGTTCGACAGCAGCTGCCCAAACTCCGTGCTGTCAAAGTTCACCATGCTCACAGTGTTCTCGTCAATGTTCGGCAGGTAGCTCGTGTCCCCCTGTGACATTGAGCTCGGCATCAGCTGCGGCTGTGGGGTTTCAGCAGGGTTAGTGGGCAGGTTGCTGGCAGGGTGGCTGCCCACCTGCACTGTGCTGAAGTCTGGAGGCTGGTAGTCGTTCAGCTGCTGCTGCTGTTGCTGCTGCTGGTGTGGCATGAGAAAATTGGGGCTGCTGTAACGGTCGGCATGAGAGAAGCCCATGGTGCCTGGCTGGGTGTCGGGCGTAAGTGGCACAATGGGCACGGCATCCAGGTCTCTGGGAAATCTCGCATTCATGTCATCGATAGGATTAATGCCCCCAAATAATTGATTTCCCGGCGACTCGTCTTTCAGCATATCGCTCCAGCTGATGACACAGTCCATACCAGATGAATCATAGGGGTTATATGCATAGAATTCGTGTTTGATAGAGACTCCGTCAGATGGGAGTACAGCTTCTGGAAGCGTGGGCTGGGGTGGTGGAGCTGATGTTCTCTTCTCTCCCCGTAGACCAGTGTACTGGGCTGAGGGTGGCTGATCAACCATGGCCTGAGGCATAGATGGGGCCCTCTGAGCACCATGACCGTAATTTATCGGGTGCATGGCCGTAGGAAGAGGAGCGCTTGTCTGGATTTTGGGCATATGAAATACCGGCTCACCTGCAGAACACACAATTAGAGTTAAATATGGTAGTAGAGTTTCAACTTGAAAATGCAATCGATTGATCACAGAATGAAAACAATATCACAGGGCTAATTGCACTTTATCAATGGAGCACACATGCAAAACGATCACACAAGTCAGACGGAAACTTACAATTCTTATGCATAATCACATTTATACTGAATGCAGTTAAGGCAACTTGTCTGTGTGCAGAGTTCTCTGTGTCAAGCTAAAGTCACTTAGTCAACCTAACAACGAAATGTGGAATATATACTGCGGTAATTAATTAATTCACTAAGGAAAAACGACTTGTTGCCATTCTAAAACCAATTATTTAATCCACATTTCCAAGATAAATAATATACTGTGTCCTCTAGATATTTATCAATTCATCCCCACTACCAGGGGTTACAATTAATTATCTCGATCCGGAGTAAAAATTTCATTCAAGAATAATTTCTCACTCGTTTTTGCGATCTCATTTGTATCATTTCTCGGGGCTTTTTTGTCTAATTTTTCGAGTTGGAGCCTTCACCGTAAAGGCAACATTAGCACATAATCTTCATATAATTAACAATCTGCGAATAATAAATTCTAACACACAATTTGACATTGCATCTTGAGTATAATAATCGATTTTAAACGCCACATACCGATAGTTTTTTCATTGTGCCCGTTCATGTGTCCAAATAACAAAGCATTTGTGGTCATCACACATCAGAAATGCACAGCACTTACTTTTGAATTCGTTGATATGCTGCTGATGTTGTTGGTGCTGTTGGTGCTGCTGTTGCTGCTGTTGCTGCTGTTGCTGCTGCTGTGCTGCTGCTGCTGTTGCTGCTGTTGCTGCTGCTGCTGTTGCTGCTTGCTGCTGTTGCTGCTGTAGTAGCTGCTGCCGTTGCTGTTGCTGCTGCTGTAGCTGCTGTAGCTGTTGCTGCAGCTGATGTTTTCCTGCCAAGCGCTTCCCTGGGTGAATCACTCTTTGTCCACCATGATCAGCTGTAACAACAAACACATTCACCATTATCATCCCGATTACATTTTTCACTAAACAGGCAACGGATGTATTGCCCATCACCATTGTCTTTGCTTGCCCTATCATCATAAACAAGTGTGTGAGGTGTTACACTCATTGTCGGTATAGGAATTCTTACGGGGCCTTGTCGTTACTTAACAAGACAGCGCGGGTTGGTGGATGGTAGGGATTGGTGGTGGAGATGGGTAGTGGTGATGGGTGGTGGTGATTCGTTGGTTGGTGGTTGTGTGGGTTGGTAGTTGAACCTTATGGCGGGACCCCGGGGTCCCATAAGCATCCGGCTCTCGCATAAACATTATATTATAATGTAAACAAAAACTTTGCTCTTTTTCACCAATGGGTTTGAAGGATGGTGGCAAGTGTTGTCTTGTTAAACTATGCCTTTAAAACTGAAAATGACTTACCTGCAGTACCTCTATTTAAATACACTATCGAAAAAATAATTTACACCCCTCTGTCAATCATCGTGTTTCTCAGTGTTGATTTGTGAACACACTTTGTAAACAGTACATAAAATAGTACGTGTTTTCAATGCGCTGTTCATATTGTAACAAGCGTTTATACTAGTGCTACTCTACAGAGTAGTGGGTCGCCGCTCCTCTTATCCGCATTGATACGAGCGTTATGTGGGGACGATGGCTTAACCGCAAAAAAACCTATCTGCACAGATGCATACGGACAAGAGATGTATTTTGATTTAAAGCTTTCGTGACTGCAGGGATTCATATTCTTGGTTCTTTCGGTAAAGTTACGTAGAAGGGAAATAATAAAATAATACAAAAATAATACAAAAATAAAACAATACAAATATAAAACAATAATTGTTTTATATCTGTATTATTTTATTATTTCCCTTCTACGTGACTTTACCGAAAGAACCAAGAATAAGAGATGTATTATCAAACAGGAGGAATTAACGGTGCAACGCATCTCATCTGTTAAATATCTGCAGGTAATAGGATTGTCATTGATTGATCCTGGCTGCAGACATTGGCAGGTGACAAATAATAATGAAGATAAGAGAGCAGTTTCACTGTATTATGCATCCCGTTATGACAAATAAAGGACTTAAGTCGTGTAGGCAGTTTGAGCAGCTTTGGGTAAGACTTATGATCCTGCCCATACGCGGGCATGGAGTGCATTCGCTTGTTCAGCTCTTCTGCGCATTTGTCCTCGCTGCGCTTGGAGGACGTAACAACAGAATGATCCTGCGCCAGGTGGGTCGTGGAGTTTATGTGCGCGGTGGGACTGAGTCGCCAAAAGTAAAAAATTATTGACGATTTTGACTTCTGTTTATTCAGGACCCCGGGGTCCCACCATAAGGTTCAGTTGCTGATGAACAGGTGGTGGCGATTGGTCATGGTCATTTGGGGTTGGGGATTTGCGGTGGTTGATGGGGATCAAGTCTGTGGTGGTTGGGTGGGTTGGTGGTTGGTGGAAATTGGTGGTGGTGGTTGGGTGGGGTGCCATGATCATGGTCTGGGATGCCCATTTAGTCTCATTGTGTTGCCAGACTATCCCTAGGACTCTTGATGATGCTGAAATCTTCGGTGGCGCCTGTTACCCTAGCGTGTGTGCATGGGTCTTTGTATTTGCGTACGTGGGCCGCTATTTATCCCCGAGTTTGTGATGTCCTTCACTCATTGTTATCTTATGTCTCATTTTATCTTTTCCCCCCCTCTATATTTTCCATTTTTTTTGCTCGACTGTGTTGACAAAGCGGTTTGAGATGCCGTGGCATTTCGGCGCTAACAAGACCCTTGTGAGAGAGCAGCTATCACTTACCAATAGTCGGTCCACTGTGCTGTTCTAGAAATTCCGACAAGTTTTGCGAGTTCGGGCATTTCCGTTTGACTTTGATCCCGTATGGATCTGTAAGCACACACACACGTTTAGATATTAGGTTACCTAAGTTATACAGTCCAACATATACGTAGATAATTGTTAATACATTAGTGGTGGATTAAAATGCACAATAGCAACTGCCCAAGTTAGCAGCTTGTGTCAGTTTGTCACCGTTACTAAATGCTAGTTGGGCAAAGGTGGTACAATTATTTTATTGTTCAGACATGTGCGATATGATGGAATTTCTAACAATCTTATACTTTCCAGGTTAAGCACTCTCCTAGCTTATAATTATTTAATTTACTAAAAATCGACTTTGTAACAAAAATTTATTTTATAGTCGCATGAGCCACATTGCCAAGTTTTGCTGTAAATGTACTTCTGTAATGTGGTTTTAGAGCATTTAATAACACAAATATACATTTATGTAACATGTGAATATTTCCAAAGAGGCTGTATAAATATTATACAATTATTATTAAAATAATTTTCTATTTACAGTAATTTAGGTTGAATGAAAGGAATCTGACCGCTGATGCTGAACAAAAGAGATCTCTCTTAACAAATAGTTCTTCAAATTTACCGTAAATGTAGACGCTGCCAAGGAAATGAAGCAACTGCAAAAACCCAACACTTTAAGAATGAGCAAAAGCTCCAAGGGAGGGGAAGTTGACATGTGCAAGGGCGGTTGAGCGGTGCGGAAGTCCCGCTGCTGGCACTCACCGTAATCGTAGGGGAGGTAGCGGAACTCCATGCTGTCGCTGACCTCGTTGTCGGTGGGCCGGCGGAGCTGCATGCGCACGGTGACCTCGCGTGTCACCGTCTGGTCGCGGTACGGCGGCGTGGTGAAGACGATGGCTACCTGGCGGTGCACATCCGTCTGCGAGAACAGGCCGCGCGCCTCCCAGCCACTGTCGTCGAAGAATCGAACTTCAATGTCCTCTGTGGGGCAAGCAGGAGGCGGGCATGAGCAGCGCTCAAAACCACGGCAGGGCCCATCAGGTGAACGATGATAGCCGGCTACTTTTTTTTTTTTGGAGTCGATTTACTTTGGCCAATTTAAAAATGGCCAACACCCCGACATCCTGCCTCTTGAAGTTAGGAAACCTTCTACAAGCTACGCCCAGCGAGACACGAACGTTGATGCCTAGCTCTGCCCATCACCACCTGTCCAGTGGCAAACGTGGAAACAGGTTAGACTTTTTTTTCCCACAAATAATTTGTATGTTATCCGTTTAGTCAAGTAAACATACCAATAAGCGGTACAGTAATTGATTACTTAATGAAGTGAGTATCCCAGCCCTACTTAAAACCAACCATGTCAAAAGGGGACCAGGCAGTTTGGGGTGCTAATGCTGTGTCGGCACTACATCGATACTATGTCCGAATTCGGGGAAGCACCTTTAATAGAACTGGGTGCTCAAGTGTGCCGAGATGATGGTTTCAGCCTGATCACGATTGACTGCAGAAAAAAACTGAAGAACATATTAGAACTGGGTTCTGTGTTTTGGACTGTTTAATTCAAGTCAAAAGCTACCATAATACAAAAATTAAGACTTTAAAGCGACCTTCTCGTGTACCACCACAGCACTCTAGTGACATCACTGGGGTGTGACTTGTAACATTCAAATACATCACCGCTGTGGCGGTACACCCGGAAATCACTTCAAAGTTTTGTGCGCAACAACATAACTTTAAACTTGTGTCGGCTGAGGGCACGGAGCCTTGCATTCACAAGATGAAGCTATTTGTGGTTTAGGTCGCATATTCTCTGAACATTGCTTGGGGAAAACTTCATCCATAAACCTCGGCGGCTATGACATTTGCAGAAATCAATAACCGCGGGCGAACAAATACACATTTCATTTATGACGGTTGTCTAAATATGAAGCGCCAAGAGACGCGTTTTCCAAAGCGGAGGAAAAGGAGCAGCGCTTGCCACGGCTATCCCGAAAGAGTAACTTTTAAGAGCATTTCTCAAAAGCGGAAGATGTTTTCAGTAACAGTCTGCAACAATCCTGCAAAGCAACATGTGCACCGCTACAGTGCTCAGCTCAACAACACGCTACTCCTTCCTCAACAACATGCCACTCCTTCCCATTTCCTCTCCAATGAGATGCACGCGTGCGATAAAAATAAATTAAACACAACCAAAGGGCAGTTTATGCTACAATTGAGTGTGGCTGGTCACAATCTAGACAAAAACAACCAATGCTTTTCAAATTTTAACGTTAGTCGGACGTCTGGCCGTTTTGTTCCTTGATCTCAGCTACACCGCCACAAATATGGAAAAATAGCGTCCACTTCCTATGCATAGTCCGCCTCTGACACGTCACCGATAAAGAGGAACTCCGTTGGTAGCTTATGTACTAACAAAGAGAAATATCCCCGGTGTAGCCTTAACAGACTGTTGGGGCAAGTACTGTTAGGAGCATCTCTGAAGGCGGCCACAGCACATGAGGTGGTGGGTGGCCAGGAGCACGCCCGTCCGCATTTGTCTCCCCAGTGGCGATTCATTTGAGGTTGTGCTAACACACACCCCCACACCCTGCCTCCACCCCGAAACGATGTCATTATTGTTATCGTTAGCATTCTCAATGAAGCCATTTCTCAATCAAAAACAATTTTTGGATGACCCTCAAATGGTGCAGTCAGTGCCACCTTTTTAACCATGAATTGCTTCCATGTGCCCGGCACACAAATATATGTGGCAGTCTCGAATGCATTAATTGAACACTCCTACGGGGGGGGGGGGGGGGCTCTGTGGGTTGAAGCATGACAGCCGGCAATATGGCCAACGCTAACCCTCTGGAATGGCAGGTGGAGAGGGGCGGTTCACGAGCTCAGAGTGTGGAGAGGATGAGGAGAAGGGGAGGGGGGGCGGGGGCACCCGCAGCAACCCACGTGCGGGGGCGGGGTGTTGTTGAATGCCTTTAAGCAAGTCACAGGTGCCATTTACAAGTGTAATGCCACTGGGTTGCAGGTGAGGCCGGCGGGTTAGGGGTTGGGACGGTTTGATAGCGCCAAGTTCGTTCAACTTTGCGATTAGGCGACACCGCTCAAGACCGGTTTAACCACGCACGGCAGCAATTTGCAGCACGTCTAAGCGTACATTGCCGATAGCTAAACGAGGGTGGGATTGCAAGAGGCCCGCACGAGTAGAAATGCAGGGCGGGAGCGATGGCGAGCGCAATTCCGGCCGGTGCGAGTGTGGCGGTGATGGAGGTGAATAACGAACGCGCGGCAATGACGGCAAACGAAACCCAGCCACCGCTTCCCTCTGCCCATTGTCCTTACCTCGTTGTACTTTGTCACACAGCAGGAAGACCTCATCGCCGCCGCGTACACTGCCCACATTCTGGCTCACCCGGCAGATTTTCAGCTCGGATGTGCTGGTCGCACCTGTGCCGGAACACAGCGTGTGTTTGCGAGCTTTCGGGACGAATCGGTGGCAATTTCCTCCGCCACACGACACTACAGCACATTGTCATAACCTGAGCCACATGTGCAACCGCACGCCGATTTTACCACACTGATTGTACAACTTCTTCATCATCTCTTTATTTGAGTAGCAGGAGTGCAAACACCGAGGAAGCAGTGGCGCTGAGTTTAGCGGACAGCAGCTTCATAACATTTCTCGTGGTGTTTGTTGCTAGCCGCTTAATGTTTTGGGCTTTTGCTCGGCAACTGTTTAATTTTTATTTTTGCGCAAAGAACCTCATCAGCAGTTCGATTTCTGGCCATCACTTGCGTGAGTGGCGAGAGAGGTTTGAAACCGGTCTTGGGCTCATTCCCTTTGCCAACCCACACTGACCAATGTAAAGTAAGGTCAAAACCCCCAGCACTGAGATGCATTGGTGAGGCCTTCATCCAGCAGTGAATTTACAAAGGCCTGTAAATTAAAATTCCTTATTAAAGCAAGCATGCGTGCCGATGCACACGTGAATAAGAAATTCCACTCATTTAGCCCACACGGAGCCTTCAGACGACTTGCCTTGTGAGTCCGTGTTAAGGCTGCCACAGAGCATTGAAAGGGGAAGTAAGGTCAAAACGTACATGCTTTTTCCACGGTGCTAATGCTGACACATCCGCTCCAGCAAAGGCAACTTAAAGATTCCCACACCAGTAAATACCACTGTATGCCACGGATGGTAAAGATCTGACCTTGAGACAAAGGAATTATATGCACGCTCACGGGTATAGATAAAGGTGCAGCCCTGCAATTACTTGCTATACACAACTGTTGGTGGAAGGGCCTCCATTGGAAGGTGCCCTAGAGAGGCCCTCTAGAAGGCATTTGGCCCACTGCGCCGAATTGGCCAGACGTCTACGTGACTTTACCGAAAAAACCTAAGAATATGAAAAAACCTAAGAATATGTCTAGGGAGAGGCTCGCGAATGTAAGTGTTGAGACTCACGGCGGTCGCGGATCTCGTGCGAGACGACCGGGGGGAGAGCCACGACGTTCTGCGCCGAGTCGTAGACGAAGGCCTCGAAGCAGAGCCGCACCACGTTCAAATCCATGTCTTCTATGTCGAGTGCCGCATTGCCAACTGCATGCGTCGAGGAACGGAATACGAATAAATATACAATTAAGGTGCAATGTGGACTTATACAGTGTATAAACGTGACTGCATCTCAAGACGTTGCACAGAAAAGAATGGGAATATTTATTTTGTAGAGAGGTAGTCAATCAAAAGCAGAGGAAGCAAGAGATCTGTTGAGCCTGGATTTGAGTAGGCGCAGGGAGTCAACAGCACTGATGGGTTGGGAATGGGAATTTCAGACAATGGGGGCAGCAGGGGGGAGCAAGCGACCTCACGTAGAGTAAAAGGGGGGTTCTAACAAAAGGCCGTGGTTGCTGGAGGAAAGAGTGCATGGAGGGGAACAGAGTGAGATGAGAGGGGAGAGGTAGGAGAGTGTGTGCAGGGGAGTAGAGTGAGATGAGAGGGGAAAGGTAAAGGAGTGTGTGGAGGGGTGTAGAGTGAGATGAGAGGGAGAGGTAGGAGAGTGCGTGGAGGGGAGTCGAGCGAGATGATAGGTAGGAGAGTACGTGGAGGGGAGTAGAGTGAGATGAGAGGTGAGAGGTAGGAGAGTGTGTGGAGGGGAGGAGAGTGAGATGAGAGGTAGGAGAGTGCGTGGAGGGGAGTAGAGTGAGATGAGAGGGGAGAGGTAGGAGAGTGCGTGGAGGGGAGTAGAGTGAGACGAGAGGGGAGAGGTAGGAGAGTGCGTGGAGGGGAGTAGAGTGAGATGAGAGGGGAGAGGTAGGAGAGTGCGTGGAGAGGAGTGGAGCAAGATGAGAGGGAGGAGGTAGGAGAGTGCGTGGAGGGGAGTACAGTGAGATGAGAGGGGAGAGGTGGGAGAGCGTGTGGAGGGGAGGAGAGTGAGATGAGAGGGGAGAGATAGGCAGGGGGTGAGTGCATAAATGACCTTGCAGATGTGCGAGTGGTGAGTGTCTACAAAATGGGTGTCTTGTAAATGCGATTCTGCTCGAGAAGCCACGGGGGCTATGCTCGCACGGACAACGACGTACCGTTGAAAGGGTCAACTTTTTTCTTGAGGCGAAGTTGCAGGGCGTCCATGATCTCCCTCCTCCTCACGCACTGTATGCCCAGGTTGGAAAAGCTGCACACGCCAAGCACACGGAAGTAAGGAGAGGAACGATCAGTCAGAGGCAGCCACTGCCAGAACAATACCAGGCTTGGCACAGATAAACTGCTGGCTCTGCTTTTTGCAGGTCACGTACACCAGAACGTTGCGTTGTCGTGCATACTTCAGTGAACCTTATTTTAGGTCAAATGGCAGCTACTACGTTTGTTGTCAGGCATATAATGAGGGTGTCTTCACATCCTCTGGAAACTCAATTCATTGTCGTGATTCCGGGTTGTGATTGATGATTTTTTTTCACTTTTATTTCCTCTTGTTTTAGGTTTTTTTTATTAGTTCTGCCCCGTTTTGTATTCTATTTTGGCCCATTAAGCATAAAACTTAAATTTTCATATAATGGGCAGGAGTCATAAATAATATATTCACATATACACGATTATATGCATGTATTGTGAGTATAGAGTCACATTTAATCAATGAATAATATACAATCTTGATTTGAAGCTTTCGTGACTGCAGGAATCCATACTCTTTGGTTCGTTCGGTAAAGTCACGTAGGTAGAAAAATAAATAAAAATATATCACGAACGTTTCGATCGCAACACAAGCGGTCGACCTCAGGCAAAAAAAAAAAATCTAGCAGTAGAACTGCTGCACCAGGAAGAAACACAGCGAGAGAGCTGTTACAACAAGACGTTATATATGTGGCGAAGGGCAAGCAGGCGGGGTCTGAGCTGGAAAGGAATTCCATCCCCGCACGCAAGCACGTCAGTTGTGTTAATGGGGGAGATTAGGGAGAGAGATTGGGGAGAGTGATTAGCATGAAATGAGCTTCCGTCGCCGCATAAGAGTATCACCCCCATAAGAGCACACAACAGCAGTGTTAATGGGAGATTAGCACTATGTTGATGGGAGAGATTAGGCAGGGAGATTAGGGGGATTAGCAGATTAATGTCATGTCTATGTGTAACACAAGCTGCGGCGCTGCCATCTGCGCTGTGAGAGGCAAGTGCGTCCATGCAAGAGAACCACCGCAACGGTGGTCGCGCCAGTGAGACACACAGCCCATCACACAGCCAGAACCATCGATACATCGAGGCTAAGGGAGCAGAGGGGGCCATGTTAGTGAGACCCCAGCCCATAAATGCAGAGGCACCCAACAGGGCAATGCAACTCAGAGAGTCGGAGATAACAGCTGAACAGGCAGGGAAGAATGGAAGCACCACTGCAAGTTACGACTTTGCTTGGTTAATAACGTCCTTCCAACGATTGCTCAGCTTATACCCATCTTCTCGGTTGAAATTGTCTCTGTGTTTATATATCTGGATGGCTTCATGGACAAATCTTTGATGGTAGCCCAAAGGTTTGCAGAGTACCTTGGTCTCGTAAAAAACAATATCGTGCGAAGCCCACTGCGTTATAACAATGATTAGCCACCGCAGAGGTATTGGTTCCTGCCATGTTTCAAATCTGCCTTGTGTTCGCGAACACGGTCCGAGACATGTCGTTTCGTTTTCCCCAATGTAACTGCTGCTACAGACACAACTGAGTTTGTAAACACCAGGGTATTACATGTCAGGAATGACCTCCTTCACAGATGGGATCAAATCACGGATTTTGTGTACTGTATTGAATCGGACCTGGATCCTGTGTTTGTTTAAGATTTTGGTAATGGTAGCTTGCCATCATTTTCCACTTCCATAGTGAATTTGATGGATGGGTGTATGGAATTGATGTGGTTGAAAAAATTGGTTCAGTGCTGGCTGGCCATGTGGCCAGATGACGAAAGTGTCATCTACGTATCTCTTCCACAGTGAAGGACGTAGGGTGGATGTCAGGATGGCATCCGTTTCAAATTTCTCCATGAAAACATTTGCTACCACTGGTGATAAGGAGAGAACCCATAGGGGTAACCTTCATTTTGTTTGTAGAATTTACCATTCCAGATGAAGTAAGTATTGGTATGGCAGTGCCTCACCACAGTTGGTACATTAGGATTCAGTCCCTGTTGGACCAAGTCTTCAATGATTGCTATGGTGTCAGGTACAGGTACCTTGGTGAAGAGAGAGACTACATCGAAGCTCACAAGCAAATCATCTGGAGACAGTGAAATGTCCTTGATTAAGAGAAACCAAGTGAGCTGAGTTAAGTACTGCTGAGGTGGTCTTGCCCGTGAATGGAAGCAGGGTCTCAGACAGAAATCGGACCAGTTTGTAGGTAGGTGAGTTGATGGTGGAAACGATAGGACGGAGTGGAGTACCTTCTTAATGGATTTTTGGAAGGCCATAAAATCTGGGTGGTCTAGCAGCCAAAGGTTTTAGAGAAAGCTGCTTGGTCGGTTCGATTAGAGAAGTCGAATTAGTGATGATTTTGTTGGTTTTTGTAGCCAGGCGGTTGGGAGGATCTTTGTTGATTTTGGTATAACTGCCATTATTAAGAAGGTCCTGGATTTTGTTGTTGTATGTGGTTTTATCCATGATGACCGTGGCATTGCCCTTGCCGGCTGAAAGGATGACAATGTCATCTCTCTTTTTCAAGTGAGCGAGTTCAGAGCGCTCGTCCCTGGTGATGTTACTAATGGGTTTCTTCGCGTTTTTGAGGATGGCGGCGATTTCAGATCTTGCCATGTCTGCTGGGATGTGACCCAAACCTTTGAGGGCTACGTCAACCTACTCTTATGTGGCGACAGAAGCTCATTTCATGCTAATCTCTCTCCCTAATCTCTCTCTCCCTAACCTCCCCCATTAACACAACTGATGTGCTTGCGTGCGGGGATGGAATTCCTTTCCAGCTCAGACCCCGCCTGCTTGCCCTTTGCCACATATATAACGTCTTGTTGTAACAGCTCTCTCGCTGTGTTTCTGCCTGGTTCAGCAGTTCCACTGCTGGATTATTAATATTTTTTTCCGCCTGAGGACGACCGCTTGTGTTGTGATCGAAACGTCGGGATATTATTTTTTATTTTATTGTTCTACCTACATGACTTTACCGAAAGAACCAAACAGTATGAATAATATACAATTAAATAAATAAAGGAGACATATATTTGAACTCCTTTTGCACCGTACGTAGCCAACCGTACAAATTGGAGGTGCGGAGGAAGGACAACAATAATGCGTCTTCATTATTTTTATATATTAGATTACTATTGATTCACACTGCATAGCAAACTAACTCATCAGCAGCAGTCCATTCCCATATATATCAATCAGGCGAGCCATTTCACGGTAACATTCTCATACGCATGGTGAAAGAGATTGCCCATTGAAGCGAGATAAAAAAGGGGAGGCCGAGTTGTGGCAGGGTAGCGCATTGGCGACGCTCGTGTCTCACAGCGAGAAGGGCCTGGGGGGTTAAATATAACATTCAATGCAGCTGATGCCAATGCTGAAATTTTTAAAGGAAATAAAAGACTCAAATACGATTACACAAAGCAACATCGCCCCCGGTTGTGAAAGCCAGGCAATACCCTGCTGTAAAGGAGTCTTGAGACTCAGCGGGGCTTTCCTGAGTAAACAAGTGTAGTAGTCATAATAACGATATTGTGATGTGACCTGGGCCATGCACGACACAACCTGGGTGGAGGAAGTGGTGCCAGGCAGGCAGAGCGAAGCACTGCTCTTTTGAACCCTGCGGGACTTGTAGCCGAGCGTAGCTGTGGGGGTGATATAGGTGGGTGCGAAAACGGATTACCTGGCTATCATGCTGTCGGGGCCGATGTCCATTTCGCAGATGCCGTCACGGCAATCTCTGCCCACCAGGCTGTGTGGGTGCGGCTTGGGTGGGTCCGATTTCGGTCACCAGAGACACGCGGATCTTGGCTCGGTTTTTGTAATTGAGAATCTGCCAGACAGAGATTAATAAGACTTCTCCATTAGACCTGTAAGAAAGAACATAAATAAACTATTTATTTATACTATTGTTTAACCAGGTAAAAACCACCGAGCGATGTAGCTCTTGTTCAGAAGCAATCTGGCCACAAATGATAGCTCAACGAAGTGGCTTATCATGTGGATATTTATAGCAGCCAAATACTCTGAATGCATATTTCTGAATGTGGAGGAAAAACCGGAGGACCCGTAGGAAAATCCACGCTGACCACAGGGAGAACATGCAAACATCAAATATACAGGCATCAGGTTCCGTATCGAACCCACAACCTCCTGTATACCAGGTGAGGTAGTTAACATCTCATCACCGTGGCGCCCAAGAGAAGGATGATGAAAGCAGTAATGCAAGATCTGCTTGGGCTATACAAGATCATTGTTAAGCAACTTGTCATAACGATGTCAGCAGTTGGCCTTCCACCGGCACCTCCCATTAGCATGGTTGGCTACATACGGTACAAAAGAAGTTCAACATACATACATATAGTTCGTACTTCCTGTGTTATGTTACAACAGAGTTGTATGACTGCAGCACTGGCTGGGCTGTCACATTGTCAACAGATAATAAAGATAACAGAGTAGCAATCTGGTCTTTGAACCCATTTGCGTCGAACCTTAGAGTGTTATTCCCACTTGCCAAAAACTACTTAAAATGGAATTGTCCAAATATTCAAATGCAAAACCCTCATATTTACAAAAATGATTCCTGTGCATGGTTATGTAACACTTTCCAACCTGCCTCTCAGGATAAAACACGTTTGCATATTTTAAAATAAACTTTCTTTTGCTCTTGTGTTTCCAAGTTTTGGACAAACTTTTAATGAATTTGGCTGGTTTTCTACAGCGTTAAGTGCCTTACACAAATACAACTTTGTACTCCAGCTTCGTTCATATTCTATCATCTTTACGAGAGTCATAATGACCCCCTCTCCCCTTGTCAACCTCATTTGTCAAATGTTAAAGACAAGCGTTTATATTCTGTGCCGGTCTGTCTTTGATACGTATTTTACATCACTATTATTATGCTGTCTCCACTATTCCTCATCTCCCTGCCCAACGCACACACATTCCACACCCACCAGAATGAGATGCATTCAAACCCTTTTGCATCGTGTTCTTTGTACATCCATCCCTTTTTCCAACTCACTGCTGGATGATGACCTCCGCACACCATGCAGGTCATGGGGGTTATTAGATCATACTTCACTATTCTGGTTCGTGTGAAGGTGGCATGCATAACAGTACAGTGCAACAACATACTCTGCACGCGCTGCTCTATAATGCCCGCCATGTAGCATTGCAACAGCAGGTAACACTTGTTATGCATAGTGGCTGTCCAACCGAGTATCACCCAGGCTCAGGTCAGCCCTGCTTAGGTTCCCAAGTCTCACGAGACTGAATGAGAGATGTGGTCACACGATGTTCAACCTCAAGTCAAGTTTTCTAAAAACAAATGCTGTTTGACAACTTGCAAGGAAAGGAGCCTGTACGTTGATGTCAAGAAGCTCAAAATCGAAGGGGATGGAAGTAGTTTGAGCCACAGAACCTGCTATTGGGCAGAAGACTAAAGAGAGAACGTTAACAGCTGTTGCGATGCAGGTGTGCTTGTATTCCTCGCTCACCCGGCACCACTGGGAACGCGTGGTCCGTTGTTCACCGTTGTGGTTATTATACAGGTGGGCGTGCATGCGTGCACGTAATGCATTGCTCACCTGCACCGCTGGGAAGGTGCGGTTGCTGTCAGTGCTGTGCTCGCCGGGGATGCTTCCGGCCGAACGACCCTCGCACTCGTAGCGGAAGCGCATGCCACGCTGCCGCGGCTGCTGCAAGATCTGCAGTTGCGGCTCCGTGCTCTCTCTCTCCGTAATGCCCTGAAGCATTTTCTGTAGGCTTTCTGTAGGGAAGGGGGGGGGGGGGCGTCACATCCGGATGTCGTTCAGGAATCGCAATTACCAGCCTAACCGCCACCTCCTCCATTGCGGCCGTCACTACAATCACTCTTCCATCGTTACTGTCACGGAATTTTCAGCTGGTTTTGTCCGGATTAAAGACCCAGAAAATATTTCCGCAGCCGGCACTACCGCATACAGTATATCTCTCGCGATGGCTGCGTTTACCAGTGACATGCCTACTCCACTCGACCAGCAAAGCCACGAGATATTCAATTACAAGCCTTGGCTTACCATCATCGGTGACGGCTTGGAGGGGGGGGGGGGGCCCTTAAATCATCATAACGACGTCATTATACATTTATCATCAATCACACCATCACCATTCAGCAATCAGTCAATTGATCATAATCTAGAACTCACGTGTTATCAAAAGTTACGGAAACTAAATAGATGCAGGTGCCCTGAGCACACAGTGGAATATCACTGACCACACCAAATTGTGTTGCAGTGATTAAATCAGGTGAAATACCTAAAATAACCAGGGGTCAGTCATGCTAACAGTGTTGCCATGCCTGTGCAGATCAAACACCCGGCTGGTTAGACTGATAGCAGTTACTTACTTTGCAAACGCACCCTGTAAGCCTACTTGAGTGCACTTTGCTCTGCGAACCAGAGGACACTATACTATCTGCACAGCTGGCAACACACAATGCACACACAAAGCGGCTAACGCAAAGGCTAGTTAGTAGTGTAGTGCACACGACTGACAGTTTAGGCCAAGCATAGAGGGGTGGACCAATGCATCGATTAGTACCAATTCTTAAACTCATGAAACATCAAAACACATATAGAAAAAATGTGGTTTTGTATTAATACGAGCTTTACCCGGCATTTGTGCGGGATACACGTCCAGGAATGGAGGGTGAGTGGGGGGGGGGATGAGTGACGTTCGCGCGTCTCGCGAACCCAGCTCAATGCTGTGGGATGCGGATGATGTAAATCACGCAGGATGTGTGGGGTGGTATCACCTGCACGCCAGCCAGCCATCTAGCCAGGCAGCCAAACTTCTTTCTAACAGAGTATGATTTGTTGTAAGTAATAGGTTCTTGTCACCCCTGCAACCACTAGATACACTAGCATTCACTGCAAAGTAAAACATAGTCTTGAAGCTATTGCGACAATTCATCGAATCGCCTGGTTCATTCCACCCATACTTGCATATGAGTGCAAGTGAAAAAAGGTGGGGGACACACTATGCCAGTTCAGTGTGAAGGATGTGGTACCACACACGGTGGGATTTGGAATATTTCATTGGGAAAGTTTTTTTCTGCGCTTTGTGTGACGTCAGGCAACATGCTGCCACCCGCGTACCAGTTAAACCCCCAATCACACACACCGGCTAGCATCGGTAAACAATGCGGGCAGAGAGGAAAGTGGTTTTCCACGAGGAGGTGGTTGCCTCCTTAGTTAGTAACACCGCCAACACACACACACGTGGGCACCATGTAGTTAGAAAAAAAACAAGCGCTGCCACTTACCCATGTCAATCGATTGGCATCCATCTGAAGAAAAAAGGCAAACAAAGGCGACAGCGTTAAACGTGTACATCGTAGGCACACAGACCGGAGCCATCAGAAACGCTTGAGTGAACAGTATCTACATACTGGTAGGAACCTCCTGGTTACACCAGCCCACTGGGGATTATTGTCAGTTTAACACGTAGGCTTTCGCGACCAATGTTATTCATAATCAACGTTTTTGGGTTTAGATCGCGTTATTTATAAATGTGTCGTAACCCTCCACCACCCGACACGGCCAATCAGTAAAAAAGTGTCACGTTGACAAAAGACAAATAGTTCACTGCTTTAGCCCACCGGTGTGTTGAAGCCATTGACCGAGCAACCCAACGTTCCTACCAGCACCCTCCGTAGGAATGTGTTTAACTTTGTTTCTATGATAGACTTAATTCACACACACACGTGCCAACCAGCGTAAAAAAGTGTGACAGTGTTAAGTGTTTGTGCGCATGTTTCTGTACAGTAGTTGAGTAATGCCAGCACATACCTGAAAGGCAAGTTCCGCTAAACCACGGACCCAAAGTGCAATGCCCCAAAAATTAAGTCTATTCAGCTTTCAATTATTTACTCTTTTAACTAGTAAAAGGAAGTAAAACTTTAGAAGTGACTACATAGCATGAATTCATTATACCCAATCCAGTGCTGCTGTACTGAGTGTAACTGTGTTTTTTTTTATTTGGCGAGTGCCTCCATGTTGAGGAAATTGGGGTCAAACGCCAGGAACTGGCCGTGCTATTGTCATTCTCTATCTCGGCAAACGTTCATAGCAACAACGATTTGGAATCTTCCTGGACACCGCTCCCACGGAACCTTATCGCCCGCGGGGTGATAGGAATTCTACACGGGTCCTCTCGACTTTGAACCTCACCATTTAGGCACTCGGCCCCAAATGAACCATGCAAATTCGAACAACTTAAGTTTTACAATGACATAATCCGCAAAGAATACACGTGGCATTAGAACAGCAAGGGAGAAGTAACCAAACTTGTACTCCAGGAATCCACACGACCTGCCCCATACCCTGAAGCTACCCGCAAGGTAATTCATCGCCCACCGCGCCGTGAAAATGTAAACAGCAGAGCAGGCGACAGCTTCCTCGCGATCAATGAAATCTCCGCTGAGCGATGAAAAAAATCAGCGTGGGTCAATTGTGCGAATGAATGGAAGGCAGATTTGGCTACGGAGCAGAAGCTTGGCGAGGCATTTTGTCGTTTCGCCACAGCCCACCTACTTGCTGCACCGCATTAAGTGTTTTCCTCCCTCCGCCCAGATCGCCATATTCACCGAGGGCTCATTTTAAAACGACAGCAACCCTCACGCAATTGTACAAGTAGCCCAAAATGCTGATATTTGTTGCAACATGCAAATGCATTTCTTGTTAAATTAGGATCAACAAATTAAAGGCGGATCATCGTCTTTCGGGCGATCATATAAAAGCCTCTTCTCTACAATTTAAATTCTCTACATACCACCATCATCATCACCACCACGACTCTGGCTGTCGCCTGAAGAGGCTGGTTGTAATTACCGGCGAAACGTCACGATACTCCAATTGTAAATGTTGTGGGTTCACTCTCCATCACACAACCGGTTTGTGCTGAACTAGTCACGAACTGGCATGCAAGATTTGTCACGCAAACGAAACTAATTAGCTGTGTCAGGTGGTGGCGGGTGAAACAACACATTCATATTCACACGATCTAACCAAAAAAACATCTATTGTTGACCATCACCACCACCGCTCCCATAGCCAGCACAGCTTCACAGCTCGGCAAGAGGACGTAGAGTAGCAATACTGATTAACAGGTGCAGAGAACAAGGAACTTTCATGAAAACCAGCCGCAAAAAACGTTGCTATTCTTGTCTCAGCCATAGCTACTGTACCACACGTGACTCGCTTTCACAAACTAAAGAAGGGCAATGGTTAAACCGTCGTTTGGTAATGAATTGCTTAGGTCTCATACGCTGCCAGCATCGTAACAGCGTGGGGGGGGGGGGGGTGCAAGATGAATTATTGGACAGGCTGAAAAGGAAATGTCTTCATAAAAGCCAGCCCTATACACAATTAACTATGTGCCGATGTTACTCTCAACGCACGCGGACTTCAGGTGTTGTAATCGGCACCCCCAGAGTTACTCGCCGTTCGCATTCTCTCACATTGCGAAAGAGGCCGGAGCATGAAGCTTTCGTGACTGCAAGGATTCATATTCTTTGGTGACTTTACCGAAAAAAGAGGCCGGAGCATATTACTGCGGTCAACTGCAGCTCAAAACGGAACCGGTTTGCCAGTATCAAAGTATGAAAAAATAAGAACCTTTAATGGGGTAAAACCTATTGTAGCTGCTCACCCCGAGCTATAAATGCTCTGATAGTGGCATTGTCTTTCTTCTGTTCGCTTTTTGGCGTTCTCTGGTCCGACAGTGGTGAGACAAGGCCCTAAAGAAGGCTGTCTCTGATGTTGGCCAATTAGTTTCAAAGACAATGCGACAATATTATTCATTATCATAACAATGTTGGTTTTCATGTTCACCACACGCACGTGTGGTCAATGCAGACTTGATCACTTGCAAAAGGTTTCTATTTGGTGTTTGAACATCTTAACAACCACCTGTTTTAGTGCAAAAAAAAGGGTAAAAGCTATTCTCATTTTTCACGGTGTCAAATTATCACATAATTCCTTCGTTTTGTTCGGCACGAATTTCAAAACACGTCTTTTGACACCACAAAAAAGGCAGGGCAAAGGTGACACGGAAGAGAATGCGTCCACAAACGGGCACAGCAGCAAATGTTCTGAAAGGTAAGGGATAAACACACGAGGAACGGTATGTTCATTTGCACTTTATGTTCATTTTCTGGATGTACCCTCGCAAATAAATTCAAAGCGGGTATCACCGTGAGAATGCCAAATGCCCAAGATGTGTTTTTCTACACACAGTAGCCACAAAAGTTTCACCAAGTGTTCTGCAACAGTGTCGGAATTGTTAAATGGTCCACTGAAACTAGGAACTGCATTCCTATAGTAGTGTACAGTAGTAACACACTTACTCTAATTCCACCACACCCAGAAAACCCTTTTGTATCACCAACACAGAACACACACACACAGACACTGCCCGCCCCATGCCTGGCATGTCCACCACACACATCTCGCCGAACACGCCACCTAACGCACCATGCCCTCCCGAGTCGTTCGAGAAAAACCTCCTTCCCCCAACCTCAACCACACACAGGCCGCCATGCCAACCAGGAAATAACACAGAGACACATCACGGCCAAGGGGCACCCAGCAGGTCAAAGACAAAGATCCCCCGTGTAGCCTTAACATACTGTAGGGGCAAGTGCTGTTAGCGAGCACCTATAAAGGCCGGCACCGCACACGAGGGGGTGGGTGGCCAACACCACACCCGGCCGCCTTTGTCTCCCTAGTGGCGATGTTTACACATGTCACCGGGTATTCATTTGAGGCCGAGTCGACTTAGGGGAGGCCCAGGACCGATTCAAATAATCGTCACCGGGTGCTGGCCGTGAGTGGCCGGGTTCATAGCGCTAACCACCAGAGGTGTGGACTCGAGTCATGTGACTTGGACTCGAGTCAGACTCGAGTCATGAATTTGATGACTTCAGACTCGACTTGGACTTGCATAACAATGACTTTGTCCCACCTCTGCTAACCACTATACACACACACGAGCACACTCTTGAATTGTGAATGTATTTGTCTGCTTTAAATGTAGTCACTGTGATTCATGCGTGGTGTGGGGTTTGTTTGTGCTAAGTGGACCCCCCCACTACCAACACAGACTTTTCGTGTCATTATTTAAATTCGGGCCTACATTGTGTGTGTGTGTGCCAAGAGAAACAACATCACTATACAGCCCAACCATATTCATGGTTTAGCAGATAAGACAAAAATGTGGGTTTAAAACTTACATGAATCGCGCTTTACTATGACAATATAACATTTTTAAAAAAATATTGTGAGTTTGAATGTTCTCGCGATGTCATCTGCGTGAATGATTCAAGGTGGTTTGAAGTGAAACTACAAATACTTTCTCTTCGAGCCCTCGATAACAACCGTGGGCTTTTTTTTTATCACGGAGCAGCAAACTCAATTCCACCTTCTTCCAAGTGCAAAGAAAGGGCTCACACGGACAAGGTCAACGCAGACCATCGGCGAAGTGGCCACGATTTCAATTGTCAAGTTGTGGCTCCTGGGCATCCAACAGTTGAACAGGTTCAAGGGGTCAACGTGGCAATTGCCGTGGATGGCACCACACAAATAGCCATCGCTCCCTTCCTGATGCCAGATCTCACCAGGTTGGCACCAAATCTCCAAGACCAAACTACTGTCCCTCAATCTGGCTTCAAGTCTTGCCTTGGTCAATTAATGAGACAGCGTCAAGCACATTGATTGTATCGTGATTTTGGGTCACGTTTGTTGAGGAAACAAATGTCGATAAATGACCGAACACATTTTGTCTCCATTATTAGGAGAATAAAATGGTTTAAATGTTGTTGTGTTATTTAAGTGAAAAGAACCGATATGCAGACACTGCCTTACAACAGTGTACAGCTGCTGATCTCTATGTACCTGAAGTTCTGAGAGTACTTAGGGGTCATCCATGTAGTGGGTACACAAAAATCTGTCAAAACTTGACCCCTCACCCTCTTTCCCTGTACGCACGCGGACTTTTTACACCCCCTCCCCATCCCCCGAATCCTATAGAACGGCCGATAGTTAATCCACGCAGAAACGATCAAGGATCAATACTATTAACGTGTTTAAGCAAACAGATAGTCCACACCACCATTTGAAGGCCAATGTAGACAAATTATTATCGAGGCTTCACCACCCCCCACCCCGTTTCCTATGCTACAAACATTGTCAGTAGTCCCCCCCATACGCAAACTACGCATTTGGGTTAACCCCCCTCCATGCGTACGTACTGAATGGATGGCCCCTAAACTACTGTGGCAATGGTAAACATCACGGCAAGAATGAAGGTTGTACTAAAGCACAGGGCTAGATAGCAACCGATTGACATTATGCCTCTCCATGTACGTGATGTCGTCGGGAGCGAGTAACAAGAAGACCCCTGCACCCCTAATATGGGATTAATCCTACAGGACCCCCCCCCCCATTGGGATTCACCACAAGACGGGGGATCTAAAAGATGCGGGGGGGGGAGAAACTCAAGGGGGTCAGAGACAAGGGTTTGACCCAAGGTCGTAATTATCATAAATATTGGGGGGGGGGGCACATCCCCCCCAATATTCAAATATGCTCAAAATGTCCCCCCCCCAATATATTGCTATAAATAGATTTCTGTTTATATGATTGTGGTTATGGTTGTACTTTATTAATCCCTAATCTCTGCCATGACATACAATGAAACAAGAAAAGGTAAAAAAAGAAGAAAAAAAGCAATGTAATCATAAATAAAAAGTCCATCCCATGTGTTAGTGACATTTTTTTATATTTTAGGCAGTAAATGGCAGGAAATTCGTTGTCAAATTTAGATTTTTTTTCTGGGGGGGGGGGGCCCAGACCCCCTGGAAGATTTGGGTCCCCCCCAATGTTGACTCCATGGCCATGGCCTTGGTTTGACCCCCACGGGGAAATAAGCAGCCGGGGGGGGGGGGTCTGTAAAGAAGGGCATCTGTCAACACGGCTGGACAGAAGGGACCTGCCAGGGACCGCAGGAAGACGGGCGGCAATGGGGGTCACAAGGAGAGGGGGTCACAAGAGAAGTAGAAGCCAGGGGAGCGAGGGGGGCTCCAGGGACAGATACCCCCCCCCCCCCAACAGTGACCGACTCAGCATCGTCAGGGGACCCTGTCCCACCACACAGAAAACTCGATGGGGGTGCGAGGGGATGAGCCTCAACTCACCTTCTCGCGATGTGCCGGCCATGGCGAGCAAACTCATCGGCCCGGGATGGAGGGACGACGGTGGTGGTGGTGGAGGGATTTGCTGATCTCTCTTCGCAACACTCCTCCGACGGCTCTGGGAGCGCGACGAAAACAAACCCCGAGCGAGGAAGGGGGTGGGGGGCTGAGACGTGGAGCGTCGACCGGGCTCGGAGTTTTTATGAAGGCGTCGACCCGCGCCGGGAAATTCCCGGACGCCGCCTCCAACTCGTCACGAGCGGGGGCGGCCGCTGCCCGCCCCGCCCCCTCTGCCCGCGTGTCCCCTCCTCCTCCTCCATCTTCACCTTTTATCCCCTCCTCCTTCATCTCTCCACTCCTCCTCCTCCACCTGCTCCACCTCCTTCTCCTCCACCTTCACCTTTTATCCACTCCTCCTCCATCTCTCCACTCCTCCTCCTCCACCTGCTCCACCTCCTTCTCCTCCACCTTCACCTTTTATCCACTCCTCCTCCATCTCTCCACTCCTCCTCCTCCACCTGCTCCACCTCCTTCTCCACCACCTTCACCTTTTATCCCCTCCTCCTTCATCTCTCCACTCCTCCTCCTCCACCTGCTCCACCTCCTTCTCCTCCACCTTCACCTTTTATCCCCTCCTCCTTCATCTCTCCACTCCTCCTCCTCCACCTGCTCCACCTCCTTCTCCTCCACCTTCACCTTTTATCCCCTCCTCCTCCATCTCTCAACTCCTCCTCCTCCACCTCCTTCACCTTTTATCCACTTCGCCTCCTCCTCCACCTTCTCTCCACTCCTCCATCTTCTCTCCACTCCTCCACCTTCTCTCCACTCCTCCACCTTCTCCCCATCCCTCCTCCTCCACCTTCTCTCCACTCCTTCTCCACCTCCTCCACTCCACCTCCTCCACTCTTCCTCCACCTTCTCTCCACTCCTCCATCTCCACCTTCTCTCCACTCCTCCTTCTCCACCTTTTCTCCACTCCTCCACCTTCTCCCCATCCCTCCTCCTCCACCTTCTCTCCACTCCTCCTCCACCTCCTCCACTCCACCTCCTCCACTCCTCCTCCACCTTCTCTCCACTCCTCCTCCACCTCCTCTCCACTCCTCCTCCTCCATCTTCTCTCCACTCCTCCTCCACCTTCTCTCCACTCATCCTCCTCCACCTTCTCTCCACTCCTCCTCCTCCACCTTCTCTCCACACCACTCCTCCACCTCCACCTTCTCTCCACTCCTCCTCCTCCACCTTCTCTCCACTCCTCCTCCTCCACCTTCTCTCCACTCCTCCTCCTCCACCTTCTCTCCACTCCTCCTCCTCCACCTTCTCTCCACTCCTCCTCCACCTTCTCTCCACTCCTCCTCCGTCTTGTACTTCTCCCGTCTCTTCTGTCTCTTCGACTGACGACGCATGTGCCATTGTCTCACATCATCGCGTCAACACGTGCGGTGTGTACCCCCCGTGTTCTTGTACGGCGAAATTGAGTTTTCAGGTCCATACGGCGTACAGCCGTTTCAATACGGGCAAACATATTGCCTATTTGTGTTTCTCTCCCTTGTGATGGGACTTTGTAGAATGAACGTTGATATTTTTAAGGGCACGGGGTGACCAATAAGGTCTGAATCGGTCTTTAATCAGGTAGGGCACTGATATGGGGTTTACAGGTGTGTTGTCTCCCCCCTAAATCATCTCTCGCGTCTCGTCCGCCGTTCTTTCTTGTTGTTGTTTAACACTCACCACCACCATCATCTTCGACTGGAACCCTAACGCAGGACTCTCCTGAAAAGGAGTCCTACATCTCAGTTTGGTTTTCCTGGATAAATAAGTCAATTATTATTATTCTACTTCAACGTCTCTTCCTTAAACCGAATGATCGTCTCCCGTCTCTTCTCCACGCGTGTCTCCCCTCTCTCCTGTAACTGTAAGATAGGAAAGCGGCCTCCGCTTTCTTCCTTAAATCGAATGTTCGTCTCCCGTCTCTTCTCCACGCGTGTCTCCCCTCTCTCCTGTAACTGTAAGATAGGAAAGCGCCCTCCGCTTTCCTATCTTACAGTTACATTCCTCAGCAGCATACCATCGCTTTCCCACCTGATGACGGACGCTTGTGTTGCGCCCAAAATGTCGTGATTGATCTTATTTTATACCTTGGTGACTTTACCGAAAGAACCAAAGAGTATGGATTCCTGCAGTCACGAGAGCTTCTTCGTAATCTTGTGTCTTGACTTCCTATTCCGCATTCCTCCATTGCCTATTGCATCTCCTCCTGTGCAGTCTTCTCCTGAACATTCTCCTCTTGCTCTGTATGTCCTCCTCCTCCTCGTCCTCTTCTCGTTTCTCACGAGGAGATGGATACATGACTACATGTACAAATATCTCACGGTCTCAGACCGAAGCACCTGGGAGGCACCCGATCTAGTCATTTCTTGGAAGCTAAATATCGGGGCGAGTATTGTTTTTATTATTGAGATTAAATCTCAAACATAACAACCGTACTTTTACATGCACATATGTAAATGTAACAACGCACAAGGATGTGCATTGAAAATACAAAAAAGCCTTATCCAGACCACCAGCTCAAACTAACTATCATAATGCACGTCAAGTGTGTCGTGAAATCCGTTTGTTTCCAGACTTGATTTTAATGTAATGGGTTTTCTCATAATTTACATATTTGACCACATATGCCCTGGACACACCTCTGTCGATATTGGTGCAGTATTTAAATGTTTTTGCTAAACGTATTTTGAGAGTGGAGGGGCAGAGCGGTGGCATAGTGGTTAGCGCATTGCACTATGAACCCTGCACTGATACGCAGCATATCCCGTGAGTTTAACTGCACAAGACACACAGTAACAAGTGTGAAGGTTGTGGCTGTTTACATTAACGCTGAAAAAATATATAAAACGGTTAGAAAAAAGTTATTGGCGAAGCTTTTTAACATTTATTACAGGTTAACATCACCACAGGTAAACAGCACACAGAACCAATACCACGTGAACACAATAAACACATCTTGAACGCGCAACACAGTTAGTTGAGTAAAAAATAAAAATTCTTCAGAGTAATATGAAAACTAGAACTTCTGTTCACTAAAGCGAAACGGGCCATCGTGGTGTTCTGCTCAAATGAGGCTCCTCGTCGAGGCAGTGCTGATCTCCTGTTTACAGCCCTGAGCCAGTGGTGGAAATTCCACATTCCTATGGCCTGGGCTATATATGAATAGGTGGTACCGATTTTGTTAACCCCAAATACCGTATGGGATTATAAAAATAAGATTAAGTGCCAAGTTGTGTTTATATTTGACTCTTGGGAAAATAAATGTTATCAGAAGATTAAATGTAAAACATTACAATCTTGATTTGAAGCTTTCGTGACTGCAGGAATCCATACTCTTTGGTTCTTTCGGTAAAGTCACGTAGGTACACGCAGGTAGATAGGTACCTACGTGACTTTACCTACGTGATTTTACCGAAATAGCCAAAGCGTATGTAAAACATTACCCCAAGTAACACGACACTAGCAATCAATTACCTGAAACAATGCACAGAAAGCGATATTCGCTTCTTGACAAAAAGGGCCAAAACGCATTTTCTGTGATGTAAGTCCATTGAAAAATCACAGGGACATAGGCATGTTTGGTGTTTCTGTCTATAATGATATTAAAACAAATATCTACAAGTATGTGAATCGAGCTCAATAAAACTATTCACTTAAATATCCAAGTTTAAGTAAATAAGCATATACAAGCCATCGGAAACAAAGTGACCAGGCTTTGTTTTTATTTCCCTTTGTGAGCAAATGCAATACAATATAAAGACAATAAATTTTTCCAGCAATTACATTGTTACATATAAATTACACCAAGAACATAAAACACCCATTTAAATATTACATAATACATATAATAATTGTGTTGTTATGCTATGGGATACGTGCGTATTATCGTATAATCTACGGATGAAATGCAGTTTTGATTTGAAGCTTTCGTGACTGCAGGAATCCATACACTTAGGTTCTTTCGGTAAAGTCACGTAGGTAGAAAAAAATAATAGATCACGACGTTTCGATCGCCACACAAGCAATCGTCCTCAGGTGGGATAGAGGCTCTAACCTGTCAGCTAGAGGCTCTATCCCACCTGAGGACGATTGCTTGCGTGGCGATCGAAACCTCGTGATTTATTATTTTTTCTACCAACTTGACTTTACCGAAAGAACCAAAGAGTATGGATGAAATGCACCTTACAAATTTAAATGATTAAAATTAACGCATTTAAAAAGAAAGTTGAGTTTAAGCATCAAAACCATCGGAAAACCAATTGACCAATTTTGTTTTTGGATTCTGACAGCCACGACCACAGCTGGAGAGCAGCCTGCCGGGTGCATGGGGACACACTCGGTAGCACCTGTCAGCTGGCACGGTGCATGGGGACGCACTCGGTAGAACCTGTCAGCTCACCGGGTGCATGGGGACACACTCGGTAGAACCTGTCAGCTGGCCCGGTGCATGGGGACGCACTCGGTAGAACCTGTCAGCTGGCCCGGTGCATGGGGACGCACTCGGTAGCACCTGTCAGCTGGCCCGGTGCATGGGGACTCACTCGGTAGAACCTGTCAGCTGGCCCGGTGCATGGGGACTCACTCGGTAGAACCTGTCAGCTACCCCGGTGCATGGGGACTCACTCGGTAGCACCTGTCAGCTGGCCCGGTGCATGGGGACTCACTCGGTAGAACCTGTCAGCTGGCCCGGTGCATGGGGACTCACTCGGTAGAACCTGTCAGCTACCCCGGTGCATGGGGACGCACTCGGTAGCACCTGTCAGCTGGCCCGGTGCATGGGGACTCACTCGGTAGAACCTGTCAGCTGGCCCGGTGCATGGGGACTCACTCGGTAGCACCTGTCAGCTAGCCCGGTGCATGGGGACTCACTCGGTAGCACCTGTCAGCTGGCCCGGTGCATGGGGACGCACTCGGTAGCACCTGTCAGCTACCCCGGTGCATGGGGGCGCACTCGGTAGGACCTGTCAGCTACCCCGGTGCATGGGGACTCACTCGGTAGCACCTGTCAGCTGGCCCGGTGCATGGGGACGCACTCGGTAGAACCTGTCAGCTACCCCGGTGCATGGGGACGCACTCGGTAGCACCTGTCAGCTACTCCGGTGCATGGGGACTCACTCGGTAGCACCTGTCAGCTGGCCCGGTGCATGGGGACGCACTCGGTAGCACCTGTCAGCTACCCCGGTGC